AAGAGATCTGGATCGATGGAAGGAGCATCGAACAGAATTGGCTGAGACCACGCTGCATTGTCGAAAGGATCGGAAGTCCTGAATAGTGTCCCAACACTCCCATTCACGCGATTGTACAAGTAAGTGCAGATGATGTAAAACTCTCCGTCGTGGTATCTCAGCGTAGGAGCGTACATCCCGGCTTGCTGGTCGAGCGTTCGTTCTCCGATACCTGGTAGTTGTTCTTCTCGGTTCCAAGCATGGCTGATCAGCTTCCAATTGATCAGATCATTGCTTGCATAGATGGGTAGACCTGGGAAGGCATCGAATGTGCTTGTGGCGCAGAGAAAGGTACCGTTTACTTGTGTGCATGTTGGATCTGAGTTCCAGCCTGGTAGAACTGGATTGTAGAATGTGGAGTTGAGTGCTTCCGTGGAAATTGTCCATAAGCTGCTAAGCAGCAGTGCTACGCGTGTAAATTCGTTCATTGTTGCGGGTGGAGCTATGTCCATGTGCTGAGGAACGTACAGCAATTGTATATGTGTGTGCCATCACGTTCATCTGATTCCGTGTGTTGTATCTCTTGACGTCTGCATTGCATGCTGTGGATACCATCCCCGCAGGAACACTCTCGGCAGAACTCCGTCTGTACGATATAGCCTATATTGTGCTTCGGCGGTGTGGAATCGAGTGAGCACAAACACGAAATAAAGTCATCGACCGTATTTCAAATAGTTCTCTGCGACACAATCTCACCCTGAGCTCGAGCAGCCAGCTCAGAGACAGCCATAAGATCGGTGATAAGAGACGTTTTCGCGACTCCTGTGGGTGAACTGCACAGGAAGAATTCGGATTTGGCAAAGCCCGCACGATGACTGGACACGACTGGCATATTGGAGAGAAGGGAAAGTGCTGCGCCAAACAAGGTATGTTGTATAGACAATTCCAATACCATTTTGAATAATATTGTACTGTACAAAAGCTATTTTAAGCTTGTTACGCTAATCCACAGTGGATTTAGATATGTACAATTGATCTGCCGTTTCGATCGTCATGGTCGACTTTCTAAGACCTGCGCTGGGCACCTGGGAATTTGCCGAACAGCGAGTTGTCGAAGCTGTCGAGTTGTGGGCAGCCGAGAGCGCTGATTTGAGGTCCGAGCTGTGCGTTCAAGAAGTTCTGGATCTGGCCAATAGGCTGGAGGAGAGGGTCGATGGCATCGGCCAAACCAGCTTGCGAGGCTTGCAAGAAGAAGCAGGAGAGGTTGTTACTGGATCAACAGTTAGTTACGGGTTTGTGCGTATGCGTGTTGTGCTTCGCTCTTACCCTTCCAAGAGCGAGGCTCCGTTGAATGCGCCGGAAGTGAGGTCGCCGGTATCAACACCGACGAAGCTGTTCACGGTACCAGTGTTACCGCCGAATCTGATGATGCCTGGGTACATGCCGTCGTTGATGACAGTGTCGACGTTGGTATCAACAGTGTTCATTGGTTGAGAAGTTGGTCGCTTGTACCAGTCTAGATGAGTGTTAATTGGAAGTCGCTCGAGTTGTGAAAGTGATAAGAAAACTTACTCTCTGGAATACGCTCATTGCCAGGGGTGTGAACGAAAGAGCCGGGCTGGCCAGTGACAGAGAAGAAGGACTTGAGGACCTCGCCGTTGAGAACACCGCCCATGTTTTCTTGCGAGCGGTTGGACATGAAGTGAACCACAAAGCTGAGATCGGTTAGCACAAATCGGAAACGTTGGCATGCACTAAACATACTTGTGAGCATCTGGAGCGACCAGACCGGAGAAGGGTGCAGAGAAGTAGTATCTAGTATCGCATCGTCAGCAAGCCAGATTTCGACATCGCCCAATGAACACTCGAACTTACGGGTTGTTCCTGATCGAATATTCAGCGGTGTAGTACGCCTGTGAGGCCACCTTGTCGTGTGTAAGGCCACCGTCTGAAGCGGCGAGACCGTAGAGTCGGTTCCAGCGGTGCATCTCGAAAAATCCGACATTCCCGCCGTGCATGTAGGCATCACCTCTGACAATGGAGGCATCTCCCTCATAGCGGTTGTGTGTACCAGCGATACCAGTAGGGCGTCCAAGGAGACCGAGCGCGCCGTTGAAACCGCCACCAATCGACCAGCGGCCGGTGATTGGGTCACCTGAGATGGCAATAGCAATGGCTGCCAAAATTGCGCCAAGCTCGGGTGACATGCTGTATGCTGCGTTCAAACCATCGACGGTCTGCTGGATCGTGGCCAATCCGTTTCTCCTACAGAGAAGTCAGTATTTCCATGCTCTATGTCTACGTGGGTTCACAAAACGCACGGAAGGTACGCGTGGTTCGCAGCTGCGTTTACTGTTGTAACTCGTCAGTTCTTGCCAAATTCGCAGAGATGGAAGGCGCTACTAACAGCCAGGGCATTGTCCACGGAGGTCATTGCGACCTGGGGCACGGAACTGAGCTATCGTTAGCTGTGTTACAAAGGCAACATAATGTCTTCCATACCTCATGACCGCTGGCCTGTGAGACTGGAACAAGTTGGTCTTGAGCATCGAAGACTGTGCACTTGCCATGCGACCCGCAGTTGTCACGGTCGGTGGTGAACAGTGGCGCAGGCACTTCAGGGAAATCATTCTGTCGCTTCTCAAGGGCCAGTGCCTCCATGACCGCGGGGTAGGCCGAAGCCAGCGGCAGCACAGCCGTCAACAGTTGGAGTGTGGACTTCATCTTGAAAGATCAGCAGTATTGCAATGCTTGAACTGTGGTGAAGAAAGATCTGCAGCTGCGACATGCGAGCACATACATATAGTCGCCGTGCGGCAAATAGACATCATCATACTGCTTGTATACCGCTCGGTTCTTTCCAGTGTTTGCCGCTCGCTTTCGCAGTTTTTGCCATGGTAAGTGTATCGATGTGCGTCCGCACTCCATACTAATAGAGGGTCAGCATTTCACAGTGAGCTTTCATTGGCTGAACGACAAAGATCTGCAGAAGATCGACTCAAAGAGGCGTCCGCCAGAGCGCGACCTGGCTACATTGCGAGAGGGGCTCAAGCCAACTACGCCGCACAGGAAGCGTCGAGGCTGCGGTAAGGTGCCGGTAACGTCCCAGAATGGAGAAAGCGTCTAAACATGCGCAAGTGGCGCACGCACTCCGCAGATCTTCAGCGCCTCACGATGGTTTAACGCAACGTCTACGCAGTCCTGTTGCGGAGAGCAAGACTGACGATCTGTGCCTACCGCGTGTGAATCGCATGCTTCTTCATTGTACATAGTGCTTGGTACTGCAGGATCGCTTGACACATCGTCGCGTCTATGAAGTCTGTGGCTGCTCATGTTGTAGTTCATCAACAAGCAGAGAATATGATGAGGAGGCTGTGCGGCAAGTGCAATATACGGGACCTGGTAGCCTCGATAGTTTGGGGTTTTACCGCGCACGAGTCCACCTTGGTTGTTGCCGGTGTAAAGTGGCTGCATCGAAATGCCTGTGTTCCAGCCCTCGGGGACTAGGAGATGGTGTAGCTCGATGACATGCTATACAATCGACCAGACTTCGGCCCGCGCACTGCTACTGTGAGAATCTTCTTGTATGTCTGGCCTGGCGGCCCAGAGCCTGCGGAACTACAAACACTATTTGCCGCCGCCACCCAAGAGTAGCATTCTTCAGGGTCTTGGTCTGCTCGATCGTGATGGTGGGCTTGGAGAGGTGATACCGCCGCGAATTATTTGTATTCCAACAGACCATCTCAATGGGCAGAAGCGCGTCGGTACTTTCTTAGTCTTGACAACAGCCGGGCAGCGATGCGGGTTTGGTGTTGTGTCGAACTGGACAAGTTTGTTGGGGGCGGCGTTCAAATACGGCATGGCTTGTGCTTCTTCCCGACGGAAGCGGGCCGATGTTTCGCTTCACCTTCTGTCTACCACATGTCTGTTGGCCGCCATCAACACAGCAACGACCATGAGCGACACCATCCAATATGCTCTCGTTCCGCTTCCACGACTTGCGGCCGTTTGAGGGTAAAGCAGCGGCCATCAAACGCCCTCGGGAAGTGACTGAGTTTTCCTTTGATGATCAACACGTTTGCTTTCCTCTAGATGGCAGAAGCTTGCGCTACTACTATCCTCCATTTTTCGACGTCCCATGTGTACCTGAAAAGCTTCGCATTGATCTTTCGAAAGGCTTTGGAACGTTTCAGAAATACAATGACACCACGGACTTGCATCTCAATCCACTGCTCGACACGATTCGGCTTCATGAGCAGCAAACCAGCACGAAATTGGATGCAGACTTCCTCACATGGCGAGGCATGATGACCAAAGTAGGCCTCACTCAAGCGCATCGGCTTGCCTACACGTAAGTCCCCAAAGTTGACAATTTGAACAAGATATTGGCTGCGCCTTTTGACGGCTTTGGTGAATTCGAGATGAACGCGACATATTTTCAGGTGAGTCCTCGGCACTGGAAACTTGAAGCATTGTGTTGACAACGACGTGCCACCAGGGAACTGTGTACATCGAGGAGAATCAGTCAGCGAAAGCAGCCCAGCAGCGAGTCGACGGCAATCAACAAAGGCAGCGCCAAGGACGTTTTGATCCGGACCAAATGGCGTTTTGGGGTACGTGAAGTAGCGGATGCAACGGAACCTACTAACAATGGACGCCAGGATACAAGTTTGAGACACTTGCCACGTTACCGCGACCACTTGCCGAATGTTCTCGTGATGAGGTAGAAAAACGCGAGGATGAGATCGTGAACAACCATGCCCAATACTGCTCCGTAGTACGAACCGGGATCGGCAATCACAGTATCATAATCGGCGGCGAAGTGGATGCTGTGGAAGGCAGCAAACCGGACGACCCAGCTGATCCGATTCCCTATGTGGAGCTGAAAACAAGCGAGAGTTTCAATCGCGGTGATCAGAAGGCGGCTACCAAGTTTGAACGCAAGATGTGCCGTTTCTGGGCTCAGTCTTTCCTTCTTGGCGTGCCAAAGATCATCATCGGCTTTCGAAGTGCGAATGGCCATCTGGAGCGCCTTGAGGAGTGGAAGACGCTTGACATTCCGAATTTCGTGAAGCGACAGGGATTCCAGACTTGGGATGGCAACACATGCATCAACTTCGCAGCCGCTTTCCTTGACTTCCTCAAGTCAAACATCAACAACGAAGGGACATGGACAATCGAGCGACGCAAAGGCGCCAAGGAAATCACACTGCATAAGATCAGTGAGGAATATTCTATGGACATCGTCCTGCCATCGTTCCGCGAGCACCGGGCTCAATTGAACCAAGAGCAAGAACATCCGAGTCAGCAGGGCTCAGATTGACACTGAACACCAGAGCTCAACGTAAAAGCAGCAGAAGCTCTTGGATGGTCCGCTCCTGCAGATGCTCCACTACGCTCAGGATAGCATCTGCCCGCGCCTCGCCGAACACTGGCCGCACCAAAGAAACGAACTTCTCATCTACGTTTGCCTTGCGAAATGGGTGCTGTTCCTCTCCAAGTGGATACTGTTGTTCCATGTCCTCGACATCACCGTCACTCCATTGCACTCGCATCCTACCAGAGAATCCAGTCATACTGGGGTCACCGGATACAGTAGTTCTACTGCAGAGCGCATTCACTTCGGGATCACCGATATTGTCGTAGGCTTTCATGCCTGTAGCAGAACCATGCAACAGCGCATGTGCGACTTGAAAGAAGACCGAAAATTGCGCATCAATGTTGTTGCTCGGATGAATCTTGTTCGGTGTTGGATCTCCAACCAACAGGATGTTCGTTGGTGGCATTTGTAGTTGTATGGCGGTAATGTCCGAAAGCCTGCAGGCGTGTGTGCTGTGCAACTTGCCGGCCATCTCGATGAAGGTATGTGTCATACGACACGCAGGATACGGCTTCAGACTTGATTGTAACCACACCCAGACCTTTCCGAGCCCTGCAGTTAGGCGTTGCAGATCCTGATCGGACTTAGGACTGTAAGCTTGCAGAAACCCATACTTCCCTTCGATGCTTCGGCTTGCGCCAATGACGCCTGCTTCTGCCAGAGCGACGCAGATGAAGGCATCGTGCGCGGCAAAACCAGGATGAAGACGCTTATTCCACGATCCGTTGTCCAAGTACTGCATGGACCCCGCAGCTTTACTGGCAGCAAGACCAAAAGCGGACTCGACCAGATCTGGAGGGAGATGTTTCAGGACCGCAATGGCTGCCACTGCCCCGAAAATGCCAGCGGTCCCTGTGTTGTGAAATCTTTGACTCGTCAGTGCCCGTGGGCTCTCCATACAGCTCAAAGTCTCACCCGCGATGATACGACTCCGTCCCAAGCTCACGACCCAAACGACAAGTCACTTCATAGCCCACTGCGATCGCCAACATGGCCTCCTCAATCGACGTTGATTCTCCGAGAACTTCAGCTTGTGTCATTACTGCTGAGATTGTGGTGACGCCTGCGTGCAACGACTATTGATTCCCACAGATGAGCATCACGCCAGACCTCGATATCACACTTTACTTACGCCTTCAGCATAAGTATCATCAAAGTCCAGCGAATGTGCAAAGGCTGAGTTCAGCAATGCTGCATATTGCGGAAGCATCTTTTCAGACCTCCCGATAACAGTGCAGCTTCCATTTGCTGCAGTGCCTTGCAAAGCGGCGACCGCATTGTAGATCGGAATTGATGAGTCTGCACTGGCATAGCCACCTATTGCCACACCAATGTAGTCTATCAAGACTTCTTTGATTTTCGTCCGGAGCTTATCGTCCAGCTGCTCGACTGAAGCAGATGCGACAAAGGCAGCCAGGATCTTTGTAACTGGCAACACTGACGCTCCGTTCGACGCGTCCATAGTTGTATGCGCAGAATCGATGTCTACTATAACATACGAAAGCCAGTATGCTTCCAAGACTACTTGAGGGCTCCGATAACGGTCTCAGCCCCGCATTGCTCGAGAACCCACTAGTCAGTTGTGCGCGAACACCATTTCTTCAACACGAACGCTGCAACTCGCACATCCGGCTCGGGAAAGAGACAAGGTCAGTCGTTCCCATTTCGTGTGTTTCCAAAAATGTTCGAAGGAATCAGTGAAGTGAACTTGTGGCTTCGTACGCGGCTTGCCCAGCGTCTTAGTTCCTGCTTCTTCTGGTGAGCGCCCCGAAGGAGCGGCTTTGCCACGCCATTGAAAGCTCTCCGCCACACCGGCTTGACATTCTTTTCTCAAGCCTCCAACAATGAACAAGCTGCCAAAAATGGGCCAGCAAAGCCCATCGGGCGTTAGAAGACGTATAAGCGCGTAGTCACATGCAGAGGAAATTGCCGCGCTCAGCCGGAGCGCAAACGTTCAACACAGTGCACTGCTCTGCTCGAGCAAACATAGCGGAATTAGTCTCGAGGTATACGCGTATGACTGAGCAACGCGGTCTTGCCAAATTCTGGCAGAGCACTGATGGTTTTCTCAGGAGAGATGGAGGATGGTCTCAGTAGAGCCTCGATGCCTACAGCCGTGTAGCACCGCCAAGGACAGTTGAACACCGCGCGAGTCAACGGCTGCAAAATACCACAGTCAGTAGAACTTCGATCGACGTCGCATACAATTGCACGACTGCTTTGGAATCCTGTCCACTCTCACAGACTCTACTCCCGTTCGCGGCGATGGATTCGAGCAATGTCGCCACTTTTCAGCCACAAAATTGAGCACCGACGCCTGTCATCTACATACAGCAGGTCGTCGCGTGCCGTAACTTCTGCTGATGAAGTCAAATAATTTACTTGCCTCGGCGACCGGCTGAGCCACATGGAGTCAGTGCTCTGTATCGAGCTCGCCACTAGTGGGTGAAACAGCTTCCAGACCAACCAACAAGCTCGAGCCAACCGCGGGAGTAATCATTTGGCGCGACCAAGAAAGACTTCTTTCATTTGAGCTTGTAAAAGATTGCATGCCAATCGATACGCCACTCCGTATTCTTGGCCGTGTCGAACTACAGAGATATCCTAGACGAATCTCCGTCAGAACGCTCATGGCGTGTAGAAGTCACCAGGTACGAAACGAAACGATGCCTGTACAGTAGCCCCATACTTCTGGGGCAATCTGCAGATCTGATTGAGATCCTGCAATCTGCAACTTGTCTGTCAGCCGCTCAGGATGTCGTATCATTGCCTGACAAAGCGAACAAGGCGAGTGCCGTATCACGAGATCCCGAGCATACCAAACCGTAAACGGGAGGAGACAAGGTCTTCAAGAATTGCCAAGTGCCCAGCGGACTTGGCGAGATCAATCCGAAGCAGCACCACACCACCACCCGAGTAGTTGGCACTGGAGTGCGCAGGGGCTGTTATCTTCAGCGCTGACTGTGAGGCTGACGAACAGAAATATTGCGTGGAGTGAGATAAGTGTTACAGTAGTCATACTCATTTGGTGCTGGAATTGGCGAAGTTGAACGACTTCAACCTCTCCGTGTCAAAGATAGAGCGTAGGGCGTCGGCCACAGACAGTGATATATTTGCAGTCAAGTCGAATAAACACGTTCGTGAGAAAATCGTTTTGGAACTTCTGACTGGATTCATGTATGGGTATCAAGCATAACTTCATCCAGCTCATTATCAATCAAACACTACCTTCCAACTATTGTATGACCACCTCTAGACGAACTTGTCGAGAATTCTTCTCCATGCTGGCCATGCAGCACGCTTCGCCTTGAGGGCCTGGAATGCCTCATAATCAAGCTCACGGCGACCAGAGTCAACATCGATCTCAGCGAGGCTCAACCAGCTCTTGCGCTTCCACAAGTAACCACCAATGTAGAAGACGATGACGACGAAGACGGCGAGGTAGTTGAGGAAGAATGGCTCGACGCTAGCGTCGGCAATGGATGCGGCGATGGCGACGTAGAGCTGGGAACACGTTAGCCGAGAATCATATCAAGAGTAGCCATTGGAAAACTTACGGTAGCGGCCAAGACAACCACAACAAGGGCCACACCAACCCATGATCCCGCAACTCCGAAAGCAGCTTGGAATGGAAGCTCATCGAGGGTGTGGCCGTGGTACTTCCACGCGGATCGGAATCGGATGTGTGCAAGACAGATGCTTCCCCATGTGAACAGAGCGGCGAGGCCGGACAAGGAGAGGAGCCAGTTGAAGACAGTGACACCGCTGCTTGCAAGAGAGATGTAGGCGATACCACCGAAGGCGATGATCGTGATGGTAGCTGGAAGCGGTCGTCCGGCGCGGTCAACGTAGGCGAAGAACTTAGGAGCGTAGCCCTGCTCTGCGAGGGCAGTAAGGGTACGAGAACCACCGTAGACACCGGAGAGACCAATTGACAGAACTGACAACATGATGACCACGTTGACAAAGGTTCCAAAAGCGGGGATGCCGGCATTGATGGCGACCAAGACGAATGGCGAGGCAGAAACGTCGATCAGGCCACCAGCACCAAGAAGACGTGGGTCGTCGTATGGGACCAGGAGACCAACGAAGAACAAGCCGAGAACGTAGAAGAGAGTGATACGCCAGAACACCTGCTTGATGGCGCTAGGCAGGGCTTTTTGTGGGTTCTCAGACTCAGCTGCGGCCAGACCAACGAGTTCGGTGCCGGAGAAGGAGAAAGCAGCAGTGACGAAGACACTGCAGAATCCTCGGAATCCGTTCGCGAAGGCGCCTGGGTTATACCATAGCCTGGCGCCCCAGTACTCGCCGTACTGGCCACTGCTTGGGCCTCCACCGCAGGCGAAGATGACACCCATGATCATGAAGACGATGACGGTTGTGAGTTTCAACAATGAGACCCAGAATTCCTCTTCAGCATAGCCGAGGACACCGAAAACCGAAATGATGATGATGAATGCCCAGAAGACCGTGATCCAGACGGCGTTGTTGACTTCAAGACCGAAGAAATTCACTGTGAGACCAGCCACGACCAATTCTAGCGGTAGGACGACGGCCCATTGGAGGACGTAATTCCAACCCATGGCAAAACCCCAAGAAGGATCGATGAAGCGGACCGAGAAAGTGTAGAACCCACCAGAAATGGGGTAGATGTAGGCGAGTTCTCCGAGGGCGTGGACGACGTTGAAGATCATCTATCGCGATCCTATTAGAACTCTGCGACCTCGCAAACGCAACATGCTATACTTACAATACCGATGAGACCGAAGCAGATGAGGAGAGATGCTGGACCACCACGGTTCAGGGCGCTACCAGATCCGACGAAAAGACCAGCACCGATGGAGCCACCAATGGCAATCATGTTCAGGTGGCGAGCCTTCATGGTCTTGTTGAGCTGATTGTGCTTGTCTGAAGCATTTCGGCGCTTGAAAGATTCGGCAGTCAGACCCAAACGGGTCATCAGGCGAGGCTCTCTGTAGTCACCGAAGACCTCGCCGTCCTGGCTGGAGCCGGAGGTCTTGATCTCAGGCGCATGGCCCTTCTCGACCTCCATTCGGATTGGGTCCGGCATGGCGGTAGTATTCATGACGGGCAAGGACGCTGACTTGAATAAAGGCGCGGCGCACGCGACAGCGATGGGGAGAAGAAAGGCGCGCTTCGACGGGACGCGCTCACGATACTTATACCGCGCTTTGTCGAGCACGTCGCGCGCGAACCACACGCATGCGGTTTGCTCTAGTGCAAGCTAACCACGAGCCAGACCCTTGAGAGCTCGTGGCACGGCGGCCAAGTGATAAAGTTTCCGCTTGATTCTTGGTGCCAATGCTGGACGCTGGGCGCGGCGAACCAATGTTGTGGCTTTTCGTCTTTGTCTCTACCAGTACAGCTTATCTCCTGCCGGTTCGGGCGTACACTTTGGGTTGGATGTCCGCGCCGTTCAGTCGAAGGATCATGTTGTCGCGGTCTCTGCGGGAATTTGGACTTCGCACATGCGTGGAAGGCCTTCTAGTGGCGTTGCTGCTCGGCCTTGGTCTTCTGGCGTCGTATTTGCCCGCCGACAACCGAGTGCAACGTCAAGCCATTGTCGTGTGCAGGAGAAGTCATTGTGTAAGATGGCGTTGCGATTTCTAAGGGGCGTATTGTTGTGGGCAGTATGGGGCGTGTTACCTAATAGCACGCGGAGGTGGATGTGAAGATTTTGTGGAGACTGGAGAAGAAGCTGGAGAGATGGGCGATCGCAGCCGAGGAACACTTGGTCCTGCGTGTCTGATGCTTTCCATCTGCTAAGATCGTCTGCTGAGACCGCTGCTCGTTCTGCACGCAGCTGGTGGTCACTGGTAGCGTGTACACCTGCGGTCTTAGCCATGTCTTCTCGCTAACGCTTCTCACCTATCACGTCCGTTCGCTGAGCGGGAGGCCTGCATGCCGCAGATCTCGCATGCTCACGTGTCCACCGCACTTCACCATCGTCGCCAGTGCAACTCTGACCTGCGTGCGGCACCCTCCGCGCGTCGTGAGCTTCGAAGCCAGTTGGACAGTCGGCAAGTCGAGCAAGTCGTGTGGCTTGGCAGGGAAAGACGATCAGATACGTATCGGCATCGGTGAAGCGTTATTGTCGTGCGGCAGTGCGGTATTTGGTGGGTTGGTGTTCGTGAAGTGGTGTCAGCGATGAGGTGAAGTCGGGATGTGCGGAGGCGTCTGCAATGAAGTGGAAGGCACGCACGGTGCTACGCGACCGCACAGGACGGGGAAGGCACTGTCCTTGAGAAGCCAAGAAGGAGACATTGGCCAATATGAACACGTTGTGTCAATTCCACGCCCTGTACCGAAAGCGACAGCCTAACTATCAACTGCAGGTCAAAGACAGCTGGAACTGGTGCTGCTGCGGGATCTCTCTGGCAGTTAAGGCATCTACTTTCACATATGCATTTGGTGCTAGAGCACCCCAGCAAGAGAAATTTGTCAGAGACTTCCCATAACTTACATATGTACATAGCATCTGCCGCAGTATGCAGCAATGCGTGCAACTCTTCTCTCTGCGCTGGCCGTAGCTGATTTATCGTCACACTATCAGAACAGGAACGTCTTCTCGGCGATATCCGCAAACGTTTCCCACCAAGTGGCCTCCAAATTTCTCCTCTGCCACGTCGTCTTCAAGAACTGCTCCATTATAGGTAAGCAACCGAATGCCAGGTACGAGACCGTGGGCGACAAGGCACGAGAGATCATCTCTTGATCAGCTCGCAGCAGACAATGCGCTCCGATGATGACCAACGGCAGTACGATGCAATGCTGCAGCATGCCCGAGAACAAGTCTTGACTCAGCATCAAGGCGGCCTTCTTCGTGTACTGTTGCACAGCCGGATCGTCGACCGGTTTCAGTCTGATCGCCCGTTCATAAAATATGCGTGCCGAGATATCCCAGATAGTACAAAATGCAGTCCACTCGTCCATCTCTGCACTATCGCGTTCCCGAGCATCTTCTCGTCGAGCAAAGTGTGCGCGGAGGGGGGCACTGAGCATGATTTCGAAGTGGGAAAGGCGCTTGCGCATTACTTCCAAGCCATATGCCTTGATACTGCCGTGGACTATACTGGCAAGTGCTGCGACCCTGCTTAAGTTCTCCGCAGCCCATATAATCGCATTATTTGGATCAAGTCTCCCCCACCAGGCTTCTGTATTGGCGAGTTTGCGGTAGATGCTTGGGTCGAAATGTGGTCTGCGGCCACTGAGAATAGCATGCACAAGGTCTAGAGTGGCGAATACAGAGAGTAGATGTGACCTGATGCCACCTTCCGCAATCATCTCCGGAACAATCTTCTCCCAGCGGTCCAGAATAGCAAAGCCGCCTTTCAAGTGCAGTGTCGATGCACTCGTCTCTTCTGTAGGCTCAATCATCCCATCCAGTAAGCAGAACAGAACGTTTGTTGAGAAGAGGTCTTTTGCAGCGGCGTCTTCACATGCGCTTGACGCTAGCTGTTTGCGGAAGGTTACGATGGCGCTCTGTCGTGTGCGGTTCCTTGTCGTGGCGGACCCGTACTTCGACTGCATGTCGAAATGTGCTCGCGCCATCGCCAGCATGGCTTCATGGAGGGCCTCATTCTGAAGCAGGATATTGTGATCCAGTGAAAGGACAAAGTCTCCCATGCAGTAGCGAGGCAGCACTACGTTAGTGAAGTAAGGCACGAGCGAGGCCCGATCCACTGGTGAGGCCAGAGCCGCAGGCAACACGGCAGTAGTGGAGAGGTCAGATCGGCGGCGCTCGACGACTGGGGATTTGGAGGACCTGTCAGAAGCTGTGGAAGCTGCAGAAGTAGAATGACGGTCGTCCTCGTCAGGGCCCACAGTCTGCAGCTTTGCAGAGCCAAGATCATCAGGTCTCGACGCAGAAGGCGGTGCGTGACGGCCACGTAGAGCCATCCCGCCAACCCATTTAAACGGCATGCCACCATACGAACATTCTCGCTCGTCCCTCTGGCATCTCCCACACGCCGGCTTAGCCAGGTCGCACTTCACGCGGCGGCTTTTGCAATGCCAGCATGATCCTTCGACGACGCGAGCGCGCCGAGCTGTCGTGGGCATATTGCTGAGGAGGCGTCGTGATCGGTGTCTTCCACTTCCCACGCGACGGCATTGCGATACGGCTTATCTTCGTTCACTGCCATTGAGAGCGTTTGCGGGCAAGCATAGAATGGAAGGGATTCGACGTCTGCATGATGCCTCTGGATCCTGGCCCTGGCAAAAAGTAAAAGGAAGTTTGCTCGGTTTTCGGGTGGAAGTTCAACCGCTTCCGGTGCCCTTGTGTCTTGGAATTCTTGGTCGAGTTGTTGCACTCGTCCTTGCCATTCTCGCGCAGATGATGCTCCATTTCTGCCGACGGACAGTTTGATGCTCGCATGTGAGTGCAGACGGGATGCGCTACGAAATTTGACGCGAGAGACCCTTCTTCACCTTCATAAGTCAAGATGCTGTGTAACGACTGCCACCTGGGCATTCTTGGCTGCCATGGTCAGCAACGTCCAAGACGCTTCCTTCCGTTCACAGCATGTCAAGGGCAGCTCTTCGGTACGTCGAGGCCTACAAATCCTATCCTGCTTGGTAATCGCCATCGAAGGATGGAAGTAGTTTGCAATGCGAGCTCGAAAAACCTGAGAATGCTGACACATGGCTCCTGTTCGTGGAAGTGATCTTCTTAAGATCGCAGGCCAAGACCCCGATGACATACCTCACCTCTGTCGTGACCCATAGGCGATTCTGTTGAGGACCTCGTCTTCCTTTTCTAAAGGATGATGCAGTATATAAGACGCGGCAGCTGGCCTCAGCCGGTAGCCATCGTTTTCAATAGACCGGGAAATTGACCAGACTTGAGCACCAAACGCCGAAAGCAAGAATCTTCACGTCTCACGATGACGATACTCATTACTGGATCGAATGGCAAGACTGCGAGCGAGTTGACTTCCATGTTGACGCCACAATATCCCGTGCTCATTGCCACGCGTTCACCAGATAAAGCAACGAATCATCCAAATGTAAAATTCGACTGGACAGACAGTACCACATACAGCAACCCATTCGAACACGAGCAGGCCAAGAACTCACCCATAACCGCCGTGTATCTTGTGGGTCTCGAAAGCGACAACCGCGGCGAGCTCCTCATCTCCTTCGTCCACCTGGCAGTCTCCAAAGGCGTTCGTCGCTTCGTACTCCTCTCCTCAGCAGAAATTGAAGAAGGTGGCCCACTATTTGGACAAGCTCATGGGGAACTACACAAACTCGGCGATGAGGGAAAGCTCGAATGGGCTGTCCTTCGCCCACATTTCTTCATGGAGAATTTCATCGAGCGAGGCTATGGTGGATACCATTGGCAGACCATAATGGAACAAGGCAAGATATTCAGTGCTGCTGGAAAAGGCAAGAAACCGTACATCAGCACGACAGATATCGCCGCCACGGCGTACAGAGCACTGGTCGATGAGAAGCCACATAATGCCGATTTGTATATCACCGGACCGGAGAGTCTCACATATGATGATGTAGGTTGCCGAATCACCCTCAAACTTCGACAGTGTACTAATTCAATTAGATCGCTGCCATCTTCAGCGAAGTACTCGGAAGAAACATCGAACACGTGAGCCTCACTGGTCACGAACTAGCCCAGACTCTAGTCAAAGTGGGCGGTGTTCCCGAGGACTTTGCAGCAATGCTGGGCGAAATCGATGAGAAGGTTGCAAAAGGTCATCATTGGGAGAAGACAGATGTGGTAGAAAGGGTGACTGGTCGACCAGCGCGGACCTTCAAGAACTTCGTAATCGAGAACAAGAACTTATTCGCACAGACAGCCTGAGCACGGCGCTGGAATAATCCATGACTGGCAAAACGATTGATCAAGGGCCAATACGGTTGTGCAAAAAATTCAACATGGTCAGTCACTACGACAAAAGTCATTCGAGATGAGCCAAAAAGGTCGACACCAGAATCGAACTGATATCTCCGGAAAGGACTGAAGCGTCAGAATCCGACGTGATGGCCATTACACTAGTCAACCCCAGCTGGGTGTTTGTTGGAGTAGGAGTGAAGGGATTTTGTGACAATATGAGCGTTTGTGTGGGCCCTTTGGCCGAGGTTTTGCCGCTGCTACTTTGACCTCACTCACTGGACAATAGTGATGTTTGAAAACTCACAAGTCAACAAGAGCATTCATGCGCATTGCTGCCAACAATACTAGAGGTCGTCAAAAGAATACGGAAAATGAGCCAAATGGAACCAAGAGTATCCAACAGATTTGTTTGGGTTAATACTACGTCCTTTTCTATCGAGCCCGACTTTTGATCTCACACAGAAGCAGAAACACCAATACACTAATGCCATGCCCATCTAGACACCATCGACTGCGCTCACGAGCAACCCTCACTGTGGAGGGTGGCCCTCAAACGGCGTAGGGGACGCAGCCGCAGCCATGGCTGAAATGATTGAGAAAAGGGAAGGGTGTCCTCCAACGGCGTCGACCGTGAGGGTTCCATTCTAAGGGCAATCGTGTCAGTCAACATTCGATCCAAGATGTAGTACCGCGTGAGATAGTAACGATTCGGAAGGAAAGCCGTCTCAAGAACTCACCGCGATGCGAGCCTGCAGGGTAAAATGTTTATCATCATCATTCTCTGGAGCAGCAGTGGCTCCTGGAGCAACAGGGACTGTATGAGTTTCGGTCTGGAAGCAAAAGCATCAGCCAATATTCAATTTCGGTACAGTACCGTGCAGGATATCAACGATGGGAGGAAAGAGAAAAAGTGTCTCGAACACTCACAGCCATAACCTCATGGACAGCGCGCGCCACATTGGCAACCTTGGAGCCATCGTCGTCGTAGAAGCAACCTTCGAGTTTGCAATGGAAAGCACGAGGTGAGGTACCAGGTACGTTTGCCATATTCGGAGCCTCTGGAACGTGGGTGGACTTGGGTTTTCCGCCGGCGATGACTGGCGTGTTTGTGTTTGTGGAGGTTGTCTTCGCGCTATGCGCAAACTTTTGGCCGAGGACGACAGGAAGAGTGGGAGCTAGGGTCTTGACTGATGGGAACACGTCCTGCTCAGTCGGGTCTGCAACGGCGGCCTCGGTTGGAGCAGGCCCCCAGAGGTCGGCGGTGCTGACCTTGGCCTTTGGGTCGACGACGGCTGAAGTAGCAGCGGCAATTGTACTGCTGAGATGGCCCGAAGGGAGGACGAGCTGCGGTGCAGCCATGGCGTGAGCAGCTAAGACCGCGACGGATGAGAGGGTGGAGGGACGCATGACTGCTGTGTACTACACGTAGTCTGGTGTATTGAAGTCGAATGGTCGTGTGTGTCAGTTGGAAGCAAGAGAACAGAACAGGAGCTGAGAGCGAGGCCTGCGTTTTGTGCCCTCTCTGTTTCCTCTGTTTCCTCTGTTTGCGGATGTGCTGGAGTGCCCACTTCAGAGCCTTGGATTGTGCTCAAACTTAGGAGTTCGACGGGAGGTCAGTTCCAGTGTTTTCTGTTCGGCATCTCAAGTTGAACTTTGGACTACGTATCGCATGGTGCTCGCATGGAGTTTACGTCTGCGTGAGTATGAAGGGTCCTGGTTGTCAGAGAGCGGTACTTCGACTAGTGTATCGATCCAGAGTATCGATTTTCCCAAGGTAACAATCCTCCGAAGTTGCACAACTGAGCTGAATGAATGGGTCTGGAGTTCGGAGTCGGTACTGCTGACCGTCTGGGTCCGGCTCGTGGGTGTGATCTTGCCATATACATCCTGAACGCGTATGGTGACGTTGACAGTGGTATGGTACCGGCTGAAAAGGTGGCAACAAAGTCTGTCGTGGACGACGCGTACACATCGACCAACAATGTCGGGTGTTGTAGACAATGAGAGGCGACGTGAGGTGTCGTCGGGGTGCCGAACCACGGTTCACAAAAAATGTCCATCCGAGCCTGCCGAAAACTAGTCGATCTTTGGTTAACTTGCCGTGGAGTTTGCACCTGTCAATTCCGCCGCTGCCGATCGATAGCTGACAGTTGAGTGCTGCTACCGCCATGAAATTGCTTCATTATGTCAAACCTATATGCACATCTATAGCTTAGCCTGGATCTCACTCGCGGGTTTGCCGCGGATATCTGCGGGTGGCTGCTTATCAACAATGAGACTTGATGCCTGTTGCAAGCTCTCAATCGCCTCCTTCTCTATCCTTGACACCAAAACCTCGCAAGATGGGATATCGTGGATGACACCAATGACTTGGCCAGCGGTCCATACCTATTATCATTTGTCAGCTTGTCGCTTTTTCTTTTTGAGACTAGCGGTTATAACTTACGCCAAAATCTGGGTCTCCGTTCTGGAAGACCTTCCTACCGCGCTGCCCGCTGACCAGAGGGCCAACGGAGGCAAATTCCTTCGTGTTGGGATCGTTCTCAATCTGGTATGCTTCTGTGCTGACCTTGTTCTTGAACAAGCGCGATGTGTTCTTCCATTTCCTCAGCACTAGCTGTGTGTCTGTCTCTTGCGCCTTCACGATGCTCTCCTTGATGTTGTGGTGGATAGGCGCCTCCAGCGTGCACATGAATCGCGTGCCCATGTTGATACCCACTGCGCCGAGGTTCAGCGCCGCAGCCAGACCTTGACCATCGGCAAAGCCTCCGGAGGCAATGAAGGGAACGGGCATGACTTGGCGGGCGCGGTTGAGGAGGATCAGGTTCGTGATGTCGTGCTCGCCGACGTGGCCGGCGCACTCGAAGCCGTCAATGGACAGGAAGTCGACGCCGAGCTTGACAGCGCTCATGGCGTGGCGGATGGTGGTGCACTTGTGCAGGATCACACACGGCGGGTCGGCTTCCTTCAGCTGCTTGATGATGGGGCCCGGCGAGTTGCCAGCCGTCTCGACGATGCGGATACCCTCATCGATAATGGCCTGCGCGTAGGCGGGGTAGTCGGGCGGGTTGATCGAGGGGAGGAGGGTCAGGTTCACGCCAAAGGGCTTGTCGGTCATGGTTTTGCATTTCCGGATCTCTTTGCGCAGGTCGTCGGGCGTGGGCTGTGTGAGGGCAGTGAGGATACCGAGACCGCCGGCGTTGGACACGGCCGATGCGAGTTCAGCGTATCCGACCCATTGCATGCCACCTTGGACAACGGGTACTGCGTCCTGTCAGTACTGCCTCATATCGAGTAGTCTCGCTTATATCGCACCTCGGATGCCCAGCTTGCGCGTGAGAGCAGTATTGAAAGGCATGGTTGTGGTAGTCTGGAGTCTATACCGTTAGATCGGAGGAGAGAAGTATGAAGGCAGACAAATGGCAAGGAAATGTAGTCCTACGACACGCTCTAATCAAGTCAGAGAGCCTAGGTCGGTGGTGCTATCAGTGATCACGCTCTTCTGCCGTGCTAATTGTCGGCCGCATCGACGTCTGCACGCCTGAGGGCCGAGGTCATCAGGTCCCTGCAGGCGTGGAAGTGGTGATTGGCACGGCTCTCCCTCCGTCCCCAGTCGTCTCGCATGTGACGGTAAATGCGGTTCTGCCTTTGTCTTGGAATGACATGGCCCAGCACGGCGCGCACATCTTTCATCAGACATCGCCCAGAGCAGCAGCATGCGGTACTGGCAGCCGTGCAGGTGCGAGAAATGACCGAGTCGAATCAACAGGTGGAGATCCGTCCAAACAGAAAGAGCAGTGATGATGGGAGCAAAAGAGAAAGCACATGGGAGGAGGAACAGCCATGGACATTGCCTGGGAAATGTGAAGAGATACAAGCACAGCAAGGAGGACCGGCGTGAAGATTGCTGCGAGGCATATTTCAATGCCGTGGAGCTGTTCATACCACACAAATCAAGAGACTCCAATCTATGCAATGCGCCTGAGCATGTACTTCGGTCGGTCCTCGAGTCACGACTTGTCTGCACGCGGGTGTACTTTGCAGAGCGTTGTCAGAGCAGCCTCGCGGTCACCGGCATATTTCCTAGCTACATCTCAGGGCAAGAGACGTGAAAGCTGTATGCAGTATGCTTCTGCTGCGGGCGAAGCCCAAACGGCCGACAACTTCGCATGCATCATCAACATCCTAGCTTCTGCGCCAGCAGCAATCTCGAGTGAGCCTCGAGTCCTTCAACATTCGAGGGCTCAGTATTGACTTGCCATACTTTCTTCCACCCCCGCGAATCAAAGTCAGTGCCCAAGATGGTGAGACGTAGGTACTAACTTCTGCAAGAACTACACCAGACAACTCACAGAAAACAGGCAACGCACCTCGCCTCACTCTCGGCTCCGAAGATGCCGTCTACAATCTGACCAGCGACGACCAAACCCTTCCCGAGCACTTCTCTCTTCTCCGCCCATCAGAGCAATCCTTCGATGCCATCCTCTTCAATATCTGGATGACCGTCTTCGCCGTCTGTGGTGGAACCGCTGCCGTCGCTTCGCTGGTACTCTACGCTATCGCTCTCGTCAAGGTCAAATTGCGGAAGTTCTTCCACGTTCAGGAGCAGTCACCAAAAGCGCTCGAGTGGAAGAAGGTGGTTACGGTGTCCCTGTGTGCAGTGGCATACCATCTCGCCGTTGTCGCCATTTGGTACGCCATCCCGGATGCGAGCTGGGTGAGCTCTGGATTATCGCACGTGGCTGCCCGCAGTGCGAGACTTATTGTGAGGGCTGAGATTGGAGCTTCTATGATTGTGGGCGGGTTCGTGATGGGGCTGAAGTTGTTGTTCGATTGAGCACATCCCATTCATCTTGACGCAAAATGGACCAGATGCGATTGAACGGCTTATGCCGACTAGTCAAGGTTTGTCAAAGCACGATGAATGGCAGCACGACATTGAGTGACGCCTACAGGCGAGAGTAAGTCAAGGAATACATCTTCTTTCTTCTACTCTGGGCCGCGTATGGAACTAGCTCTCCTCGTCCGCCCCCTCTAAATATCCCTCGACCGATTCAACCCCTTCAACCGATGTTCAAAATCCTCCTTCGGAATATCCTCCACCTCCTTCGGCCTCTGCAACGTCACCCCACTCCTCTTCTCCCACCCGACCAAAGCCTTCGTATGATCCGCATTCTGCTCCACCTCCTTAAGCGCATCCCCCAAATACCTCCTGGTCAAACCAGGTAATTCTGTTTCAAACCCATTATACTGCATGAAATCCTCTGTGATCCCCAGATCTTTGACCAACAACGCCAGCCCAAAACCAGAATTATACCGCCCTGTCAAGCCATCTCTTCGGAATGTATCTAATGTAGGGAAGCATACGCCTGTCCCTACGTTCAAGACATCGATCATTTGCTTTGGGTCTAAGCCGTATTTTTGTCCTGTTACCAAGCTATCGCTTAAGGCGCAGATGGAGGATGCCATGATGTAGTTATTCAACGTTTTCATCGCGTGGCCGTTGCCGAGTTTTCCCATGTGGAAGACGTAGCGTGCCATGGTGCGAATGATGGGCTCGGCTTTGGCGAAGACGGCGGGAGAGTCGGCGCCGACTATGAGGGTGGATTCGCCGCCGTCGGTGGCGTGCATGTAGGTCTGGGTGATGGGTGAGTCGACGAGTTCGAGTTGGTGTTCCGCGAGTTCTTTGCCGAGGGCGATTGTATCGAAGGGAGAGGATGAGGAGGTGTCGATGATGATTGTACCTGGAGGTGTCAATTGGTTTCTCTGTGTTCGTTCTTGTGTCTCATCTCCGTCCGCTTACCTGGCTTCAAGCATCGAGCAAAGTTGTCTTTGCCGAGAAGCACTTCTCTCACGATCTTGCCTTGCGGAAGCATGGTAACAATAACCTCGCAATCCGCAAACGCCTCTGCTTTCCCATTCGCAGCAGTGGTGTTTGGCCATTCCGAGACAGCCTTCTGGACTTGTGCCTCGTTCACGTCGTGCACGACTACATGGTAGCCGGCTTTGGGCAGATTCGAGGCCATGCTGAAGCCTGCATTCCCGAGGCCGATGTATCCAACATTTTTTACTGCAGGTGCTTGCCCGTTCGTGGTAGGAGGCATGTTGCTGGAAATCTAGGCTGTATGGGTAGTGATATGCAAAAACCAATGTCAAGGCAGAAAAGTGAGGAAATTTGGTCCAGGGTGCTCTCCTACGCTGAACACGAATAAATGCCTACGCCATGCCATCATGCCCTGCGATTTCGGACGAGGGGCAGAAGTCCAATGCCAGAGGGGATGTCATTGTAGAGTCGATCCTTTACTCTGCGGAGAAGAAAGCTTGGGGAAGTGCTCGAGACGAGGCTGCGTGAGGAAAGTCTGCCGGTGGGCGTCATCGTTGGAGGCAGTTCTGGATCCCTTGGGTGCTCGTCCAATGTCCTCCGCATTACCATACAGCTGCCGTACAGACGTCAGCTTCTCTTCGTCGTCAGACTATTCCCACGCAACCATTTCTCCAGCAGCGAAGCTGGTCTGCTTCACCCACTTCCACTCGCCTTCCAGCAACCTATACTCGATTTGGAACAGGCCCTTCTTGACAACGCCAGGCGGGTCCCCAAACTTTTCCGCTCTCGCAAACACCTCCCCGCGATCAAGTGTGCTATTCATCGTGGTGTATAAGTCGACGAACTCGATATGATAGGAAGGTGTCGTAGACGTGACTTGCTCCAAATGGCGCAAGAGGCCACGAATACCGAACTCTTGTCCCGACATGGTAGAAAGTATGGTGTCGGGCGCCACAGAGCTCCATGCTGAAGATTTGGGATCAAAATCTCTTGTGTTGACTGCGTTCGCGACCGCAAATGTCATTCTTTCGAGAGTCTCAAGGGCCTCACTCCGCCTCTTGAGTGATCGCGGGGTATCTTTGCTGCATGAAGTAGGTTCAACGACAGCTCCAAAGGCCGAGTACATAGTTGACATGCCACCAATCAGTGCTGAGGGGCGAGACGATATGCAACATCGTGAATCGTTGTCCTCCGCAGCCCTATATTTCAAGGAAGGCTCTTCAGCTCGCTAAGTAGCGCAGATCGCCGAGATGATGTGCCCCACACACGAGATACAATCCGCCCGTTCTGTGTTACACGGAAACGGTCATCCAGCCTGTCATATTACATTATCGAGTCTTCTTTCCGGCGATCGGTTGTTTCGATGCATCTTTGGCAGTTGCGTTTCTGTCTCTTCCAGCACCTAGCGCGCCCCGACCAGCAAATAGCTTCCACGATATCCAAGCAAATCCTATCACTACAGCGAGAAGTGTCCCAAGAGGCACCCAAGTAGCCTGGGCAGGATCCAGTACTGGTACGCGTAGCTGCTCGACAAGACGTCCACTTTGAGGATTGGCCGGTACGTGGTAGAACATAGTCTTTGGACCAAAGAGCCCATCGTAGCCCAAGTTGATGCGATCGAATGGGTTTGTGCTCATTTTCAAGCCCTCTTCGGCTTCGCATGCCCAGAAAACGACAGGCCACGGAACATCGATGGTCGTGTGTCCAGTCTTAGAGGCAGTAGCATTCAGGTATCGTAAATGCATGGGAATTGTGACTGTCCAGTTGCCTTTGGGTGGCCCAGCGCCTTTTGGAGAGGCCAACTCGAACAGTGAAACAGAGCCCCACTGCTTTACCACCCAGTTTGGTGCTTCCAGATCCTCCTCACCGCTCAGAGCGCGCAGAGCCACGAGATTTTGTGAGGCAAGGAACAGATCGTCCTCGAACTGATACCTGTCCAGAAACAGCGTCGAAGGGTTTGTCATGTATGCGTGAAGCGAGCAGGCTTTCTCGGGGCTCGGCGATGTGAGGGATTCGGCGGAAAAGATAATCTCGAGTTTGGGATGCAACCCCGTTGGCTTCTGAAAGTTCGCAGAATACGTTGTACGATCGTTCGAAGGGAGAGAATGGTGTCTGGAGGGGAACGAGAATAGTGTTGGTTTGGGCTTATCGTCTTCACCTACCACAGTCAGATAGCCGCCCAATTTGTGCTCTTCTGGCTCATCTGCCTGCTCCGGCGACAGAATGCCCACTTCGAGTCGCTCTTCTGGTTGAATTTTGTGCACTCTTCCTGGGATGCCATCTCCATCGGCCGCAGATGACGGTGGCGAAAGAATGCTGATTGTCACGGCATGATTGATGACATCAAAATCATAGTCCACATATGCAGCACCTGAAGTATCTGCAATGACTTTGCACAGCTGTCCACTGGTGGACGCAACTGGGAGTCCCGGGCAAAGCTGGTCCACTACGTGCTGCGATATCGTGTTCAAATCATCTACTCCATGATAAAACTGGTATGTAGAAGAGCTCGCGAACCTCTCGGATAAAACAGGTGGTCTGGGGTAGGCGCCAAGTTCAGAACTGCAGATTAGCTCTCGCTCATTCAGTCCCAGCAAGTGACCAAGCTCAGAGCAGAGCTTGTTTCCGGATGTTCCTGGCCTGCTTGGTGGCGTGAAGAAGGCATGGAGACCGGGTGGTAACGTTGATACTGCGGGCGAGAGTGCAGGATAGTTGCGTGGGGACACTACCCGGACATGCAGTTCGTGAAAGTCCTTGAGGAATTCTTGCACCTGACAACGCCAATCTCAACTTCGTATTCTCGATAACTTGTCATGCCGCTTACCGGAAGGGGCAGCTCGGACAAGCCAAGCGTTATACGACGCTCAACTGCAGCGGTCGTGGCCTGCCGGAAAGTGAGGTCGTCCTTGCCGGCGCTGATGTCCGCCGGATCGACGCCGGTGCCGCGGGGCAGCAGATATGTGATCCTCTGCCTCATGCTGAACGGCAGATGCGGCGGCGCGGGTGTGTTGATGGACGGGATGGGGTGTTGATGCTTGTTGGATGGAAGAGCAAGGGTGGTGGCTTCGTCGTGAGCACAGACGCGTGTGGAGAACGCGTTTCTCAACGTCTCTAGCACCATTCCTCCGACATGCCTCTACAGCCCATGGCGACTACCTCTACCGACACCAGCACATGGCATTCAAGACGCCATAAACGAGGGTCCGGGCATGCTCTGCTGTCTGCATCTTGACTGCCGTGTTGCGGGAGTCGCCGTGCGTGTGCAATATTGCCATATTTGACATGTCCCGCCTCGCATAGCCCGTGTTCAGCTCATGCGGGCCTACAAAAGACGAGATTCGGCTCCCGAACGACCAGACTGGTCAATGTCGCTCTATACGCAACAACCACTAGAGCAGCACAGCTCTCCCCATCTGGGGCCCCAGACGGCGTCCTTCGGAAGTGCCCATAGAGTGTGGAGGTGGCGCACAGCCTACAGTAGCCTGTTCATCCTCGGCGATCTGCTCTTCGCCACGGACGCACATGCGCCTGGGCATGGACATGATGGAGTCCGGATCGCACTGTGCGCGCCAGGCTGGACGTGTCTGCACACATGGACGAGATTCAACATCCTCGTATGCAGCTGCCAGTTGAAACACAATTCCAACGGCCATGGTACAGTAAATTCGAAAACGCGCATGATCTGCAACTCGGCGCCGCGGCTGGCGGAATGCTTAAGTTCCAAGCACAGGCTGTTCGTAATGGAACCGAGGATCAGCGTTCGCTGCGTATTCCACATGCACCGCTTTGGGACTTTTTGGAGCCATCTTGACTGGACATATAATGTGTAACGTCTCGCAATTCTAGGAAAGTCCATTGATCTCGTCTGCAGAGAGGTCTAGGAACGATGCGCTTCTCCCACTTTTCTCTGCTGGGCATTTTCGCCGCGGTCCATGCCACTCCGCTTGAGCAAAGGCAAGCTGCAAACCCGACAGTAACTATCAACAATGGCAGAGTAATCGGCACTGTCACTGGCGTATCGAATCAGCCAAGTGCACCTCCAGTCAAGGCCTTCTTGGGTATTCCGTATGCGCAGCCTCCGACTGGTGCTCGACGATTTGCTCCTCCCGAGCCAGCGACTCCATGGAGATCGCCACTGCGGGCACAGAAACTCCCTCCAGCATGTCTGCAACAATTCGGTATGAACAAATCCTTCGGCAAAAAGTTGCCTCTGCTGATCACTCGCTGCAGCAAACGAAAAGACGAAGCAATATTTCAACAACCCAACTCTCCCTCCACCGGCTGAGAGTGAAGACTGCTTGTACCTGAATGTGTTCGCTCCGAGAGGTGCTAGCCCGACCAGAACTAAGGCTGTGATGTTTTGGCTGTACGGTGGTAACAACCAATTTGGCACAGCATCCTTAGCATTCTACAATGGAAGTTCGCTTGCGGCCAACGAGGATGTCGTAGTTGTTGCTATCAACTATAGGACCAATAGTGAGTGCTTCCTGCGCATATCAAGACATCGTGCTAATTGTTGCAAACAGTGTTTGGCTTTTCCAACTCACCTCAAATTCCCTTTGGCCAGCAGAACAGTGCCTTCCTGGACCAGCGCTTGGCCCTGCAATGGGTGCAGCAGAATATCCAGCAGTTCGGCGGAGATCCTGCTCGCGTGACAATATTTGGAGAGAGCGCAGGAGGCTACGATGTGAAGCAGCTTCTTGCGAATCCACCAAGCCCCCTGCCCTTCCGAGCAGCGATCATGCAATCGCAGAACCAGGCCGCCCTTGGCGTCGGCCTTGCTAGTTACAACCAGGTGGCATCCAACTTTGGCTGCAGTACCGCGCCGTCTGTCATTGACTGCCTGCGCAAAGTACCCGCCACCGACATCCAGGCATACATTACACAGAATAGCCTGAGCTTTCCCGATGTTACTGGTGACGGCACAAGCGTAGGGAAGCAAGCGCTGCCGAACATTCTCTCCGGGAAGTTCGCAAACGTGCCGGTCTTGATCGGGACCAACAAGAATGAAGCTTCCGTCTTCCTCGACCTCTTTGGTCTGAACACTGGCTCGACCACTCCGGCTACTCTAAACTCGACTCTCGCGAACTACGGCTTCCAAGGCATATCTGAGGGCACGATACAATCTCTGTACCCAACTCTGGCCAATGCTGGATTCAAACTTATCGATCGTGTTGTCACCGATCTCTTGTTCACCTGTTCCACCAGGACGCTCGCGGATGCGATCAAAGTGTCCGGTCGCCCAATCTGGCGGTACTGGTACGAAGGTGTCTTTCCAAACCTCAGCATTTTCCCCAACGCTGGAGCTTGGCACAGCAGCGAGATCCCGTCTGTGTGGGGCACGTATTTTGCTGCCGGCGCGACTCCCACCCAAGTCGCGCTGAGCAAGTACATGCAAGGCGTGTGGGCAGGATTCGCGAAGAATCCTGGGAATGGCGCGCCGTGGCCCAGGTTGGGCAGCAGCTTTGGTAGAGAGCTGGGAGTGCTGGGCGGCGAAGGCAACCCGAGCGGCGAGGAGACAAGGCCTTTGATCGAGACGGATGCGCCTTGTGCTGTGTTTTCGCCGTTGTTGATCGCGGCGGGTCAGGCTTATTAGGTAAAGGTTACAAGTTCCGTAGGCTCGTTTCTTGTTCGCGGTAGTGCAAAGTGCAGGATGTAGTAAACGCAATGCATGAAGTGCATAAAAGTTGTGGTGCCGTTGAAGTCAAGCAAGGAAGGAGCGCGCCAGCTTGACTTCACCTGGTCCATCGTCACTCGCGTTGGACCTCTACACAACATTGTTACCACACATATCACTGCCAATTCTCCGTCGCAGCGCATCGACACACACGTCGTCGGACGCATGTCACAATACAAGAAACTTCCGGACCTGATCTCCATGCATCGATGTGCCACCCAAGAAAAAGTACTTGACGATCACCATCACTCGATCTTTCCAACGAGACTCAGATTTCTCTCAGATGCAAGATCAACGATAGGAACAGATCAAATAGACCGCGAAGTGGTGGCCGTCTCAGAAAGCTGCCGCAATGTCGCCCATCGTGCACGGCTGACCAAATTCATGTCCTTCGAGCGATTTACAAAAAGACAAAGTTCTGCTGCAGCCAGGCGACCATGACAGTTTACAAAGCTGGAATACATCTTGCTGAACAGTCTGCAAAAAGCTATCAGCCTGCTATACCCCGATGGTGGTGTACGGAACACCCTGCTGGCTGCCAGGGCCGTAGGGGATGGTGTTGTCCAATTCTGCAGCTCTGAGCCTCCAGCAAAAAGCAAAAAGACTGGCGATGAACGGATTGAACGTTCTGAATCGTTACGATCACAAGATTGGCGGTACCGTGAATCGAACACGGGCTAACGCGGATCTGCAGACTGACCACAACACGTCGTCATACCACTCTGTAAGGTTATTAGCAGAGCTCTGAGACGATTAGGAAGCGGAGAGACATAAAGACCATACCACCGTAGCTTAGCTACGAGTTGCCCCATTATTGGATGATGTCCGCGGGTCGTGAGTGAATATAATGGCCGCAAGACAGCGGGCTGCAGGGCTGGCGGGGCAAGCAAAAGCAGGACTTCGCCCAAAGCCCCTCACCACTTTCTCTGGCCTATCAGCAGCAGTTCTCCATCGTAAGGAGCTCACAGAGCTCGAAATTCTCTGCGGAGCAAGGGTTGGTGGCTTGACGGGCTTTCTGCCAAGCCTGACCGACTCAGCTCCACAACTCAGTCTCGGCACCACCAAAGTCTTCAGAAGCTGTCACTACGATCGTTACCATCCACAGGTCAACGGCTTAGCATGACTATTCAATCGTGCATTTCACACGGCCGATACTGGATGCTTGCAGCTGCCAGGGTATATCGAGCAAGTTTCGCAGACACGATGTGCAGGACCGTCACTACCTTTGGTAGCATGCTCGTACACAATACTGGCACTGCCTTTCATTGGTATATCACCACGATTCAGGCGTCGGATCAAATTGACACCGTCGATGTCACCTCTAGTCTGTATTTGATCTCAACATCAAGAACTGGCCGCAAAAGGTAGACAGGCGATTTCAGAAAGCTCTTCCAGACAAAGCTATACGGCACAACTCCGTCCTTCCTTTGGCCGAGCTGGTATAGTGGGCTTTGTGGCGATCGCTTCATCTTAATTACAGCTACGAAGTGTGAATCTGCGTGGGGTGAACTTGAAGTTTTTGCCGACCAGATGGCCGAGGACAAAGTCATGCCGCAGCGGATTAGATGAAACGTTGAGCGTGTTCTGGCGACCGCCTTGAGTCTATGTCTCAAGGCTATCGTCGGAAAGTGTTCGTCTGTGAGCAGACATGATCCTCGGTGTCAACTTCCCCAGAAAATGAGCCTGCTGTGCCGCTAGATTCTATCGGAGGCACGCAGACCTCTGGATGACAAATATCAAAGTCTTCTCTGCAGATATAACTACTTCGATGCTCGTCAGTCGAGGCACGGGCGTCACTGCACTGTCGTGCCTGGTCCGAGAAATCGCTTCCATCTGGCGATTGCCCTGGTATGCCAAACTCATTGCCAGAATGTACGCCTTTCTTCGCAGACAAAGTGGGCTCGGTGCTGGTCAGCTTGATTACAAGTACGATGTTAACCAAAATCTTCTTTCTGGGACAAGTCTGGTCATTGGTGGAAAACCAAAGGTATATGCTTTGGGCCTTGAGAACTGCATCTTTACCTATCGGTGAAGACTAAAAGCGTGCATCTGGTGACAATCGATCTTCACACCTGCGCTCTCGTTGCTGGCTTTCAGTTTGTTCCACAGCAACGCGTTTCCATCGATGCTACGCACACCATTCGTGCCATCCTACTTCGTCTCGGCATTCAGTCCACTCTTCGTCCCCACAATACTCACAACATCCTCATCGCTGACCACATGCGATAAACCACACCTCTGCGGCACATGCTTCGCGCTCGCGCCCCACACCAGCGCATACTTGAAGCTCTCCTTCATGCTTCGATGCAACGAATCACAAACGTCTTCGATCGTGCTTCCATGCCGCACAATCAACGCCTCATTGAAGTCAGGTTCTACGCCGCGCTTCTTCGTGTACACGCGAATCAGGTTTAATTCGTTCCAGCAGCGATCGACAACGTCTTGCACCCCAAGATCGAGCTCGCAGGACATGACGGCCGTGTTGGGTTCGCGGGCGAGCTTGTCGAGGAATTCGAGATTGACACTGTCGATTTTGTTGTACACGTATATGCATTTGATGTAGGTGCGGTGGTCTTTCATGATTACGTCGATGAACTGGTCAACAGTGGCTGTGAGATTAATGTCAGTGTGCTGTGAAAACAACAATCTTCGAACTTTGCATACCATTCTCGTCTCGTATCAGCACCTCAGCATTCAGAATGCGATAGTCCTTGAGGATGTTATACAGCATCTTCTCGTCCAGATTCTTCGGTGTCGCTTGAAAGGTGATCTTCACACCTCCCGCCTTCTTTGGCTTGAGATAGATGTTCGGTGGGTCCTGGTTCAACCGGATGCCAACAGCTTCCAGTTCTGCCTCCAGCAAAGCACGCTGCTCTATTCGTTTCGTGGCATCGAGAACCATGACAATCATGTCACTCGTTTTGGCTGCTGAAATGACTTGACGACCTCGTCCTTTTCCTTCTGAGGCGCCTTCGATGATACCGGGAAGATCGAGAATCTGAATTTCCGCGCCTCCGTATTCGAGGACACCGGGAATGGCCGTGAGAGTTGTGAAAGCGTATGAAGCAACTTCGGACTTCGTTTTTGTGATCTTGGATAGGAATGTGGACTTTCCGACTGAGGGAAAGCCGACGAGTGCTATTCGTGCATCGCCGGATTTGCTGACATCGAATCCTGTTCCTTCTGCACCTGCGGTCTTGCCAGGTTCGAGGAGTTGTGCTCGAAGACGAGCGAGCTTTCTGTGACGCTATTAGTGAAGGTCGTTGCGAAGTGCCGATTCGAGGCTGCGAGCAGCATTCGCTGCCAGCATGACTTACCCCTTCAGCAGACCTAAGTGGTAGTCTGGTAATGCTCAGCAAAGAGTCCTCGGAAAATTGTTAATCGGCCGCGGGATCAGAGACGTACTGGTAGCCTTATTCTCTTCAGATTGTCAGTCCAGATCGATCACTTTCGAGTTGGGCGTCTCGTACTCTGCGTCCTCGCCATCTCCTCCTCAATCCTGAATCACCATCAGCCACCGAGTTCGGTCTTCAACGGTTAGAGCTTCCTCACTCCTTGATCTTGTCCGTGATGTTCACCATCTTTGCGAATGTTGCTCGCGAAGCCGCGAGCTGCTACCGTATCTCCGTTCGTGCCAGTCGACGGCGGAAAATGTACAGTGAAATCGGCCGGTGGAGGTGTTGCTCAAGATGCAAACTTGAGCTGCAGCCGAATTGCAAGGACAAGCCACATTTTGTGGCGCCACATTTGCGACGCCACATTCGCCGCCCAGCTGACGTCGTCGAATCAACATCACATCACTTTCTTCCTTTCTCTTCCTCCAAGGTGAGTTCACAACAAATACATAGATCGAATGATTCCACACAACTAACATTCCTCGAAGAAGTAGAAACGAAGCATCGTCACCCATTCTCAAGCCATGGATATCGACCTAAGATAAAACACCCCGAAGATCACAAAGAACACAGCACGACACACGAGAACAAAATGCTTCCTCCTGGCCTCGAAACACCTCGTCAGGTCAAAGCATATTACAACACTGTCTACAATGATCTTATTTCCTCTGGCGCATTTCAGCCTTTCCTATACCCTCAAGCCACGTTCGGCTTCGCCATGATCCTCATCTACCTTCTCATCGACCACAGACGACGACCTTTGCTTCAAAAAGTCCGGCTTCCGCTATTTGGACTTTTAGTGGCGTTTTCGATATGGAATATCCTTAATGTGAGAGCCAGGAGTGCTCCAGCGGCCTATGGAGTTGGACTTATCTCGTCTTGGGGTACGATGTGGACTGCGGCGGTGATGGCGTGGAATGATTGTCAGACGGATTTTCGGAGGCTGGAGAGGGCTGATGAGGGAGCGTTGAAGAAGGTGAGGGAGGATGGTGATGTTGATGGAAGGGCGAATGGGAGTGCGAATGACAAAGGAGAGAAGGAGAGGAGGGTGGCGATGTTGGAATTGTCGGAGAAACGAGCCACGGAAGGACCTGCCAAACGAACCGGACCTATTTTCTGGCAACCGTATCCTGAGCGGCCATTTCTCGAAAGACTGGACTGGGTCGCGGATGTGTTTTGTTCTTTCCGCGGAGTGGGCTGGTCATTTGAGACGAGCGGGATACCGAAACTGCCAAAACATATCGAACTTGAGTTGGAGGGCTACGAAAACAGTAGTGGCGATATTCACAAGGCCCACAAGACCGATGTATCGTCTCCTCCAACGACGAGCTACACCGGCCTCATCCGCTTCTCTTCTCGCCAGGCCCTCTTACGCTTCTTTCTTCCCCGTTTATTCCTGGGCGCCGCCACTCTCGATGTCGTCAAAACGCTCATGCATCACGATCCCTATTTCTGGGGCTACACGTATACCACTACGTCTCCGCCCTGGCTCTTTGGCATCAACTCACCAACCCTCCTCCGCTCCGCGCGTCTCCTCCTCTCCTTCGTTGGAATCAGCGTCGCCCTCAACACGATCTTCCTCCTCGGACCACTCTTCTTCGTCTTCGTCCTCTCATCCAAACGCATCGGTCTTCGAGGAGCTCCCTTCCTCAATCCACCTACGTTCTTCGGCTCGATTGACCTCGTTCTCAACAAAGGCCTCGCGGGCTTCTGGTCGAGCTACTGGCATCAGACTTTCCGCTACGCCTTTCAAGCTCCTGCCACTCGCCTGTTATCGTTTCTCAACGTCGAGCCTCGATCCCAAAAGGGAAGACTGATAGGTCTCTGGCTTGCATTTGCTCTCTCAGGCCTCCTTCACGCGAGCGGCAGTACTACCCAGCTCGGCGATACACGGCCCCTCCGTGGACCTTTCGCTTTCTTCCTCTCGCAAGCTCTCGGGATTACGCTACAGACTTTCTTCACCCAGAAAGCTCAACAACCTCTGCTATCACGCCAGTTTGGAAATCTTTTGTTTGTCATCGTCTGGATGTACTTCACTGCTCCGCTCCTCGTGGACGATTTCGCCAAAGGTGGGGTATGGTTGTACGAGCCACTGATTATCAGTCCTTTGCGACTATTGGGTTGGGGGCAAGCAGATGATCGGCAAGATTGGATTTTGTGGAAAGATTTGGTTAGGTGGCGCACGGGCAGCAGTTGGTGGGATACAGGACTTGCATTCTGATACAGCTCAATGATGGCGGGCAGATATCCTACGCAGTTTGCACAGGACGCAACGAGCACGATTGACGAGATATATGAATGCGAAGTATAGATGAGGAGGCTCTGGATTGTACTGTACAGGTCGACTGGTTCTGCAAGAATATATACACTAGATCAGGACTACCGAAAATGGTTACGATCAAGACTTCTTCGCACTCCCGTTGGATTTCAGTGCTGTGCCATTTGCCGACTCTTTCTTCGGCTTCTTCACCTCCAAGCCCGCTGGCGCCTTCAATCCTCCAAATACCAGTCCGCACACGGCGACCATGCCGGAGCCTCCAACGAGGTATGCTGCGTCTCGGCCTGCCCACCAGTATAGCGAGCAGAAGATCAATGGTCCCAAAGCTCTTCCCACTTGTCCAAAACTGCGATGATTGCCCAGCTTTTCTCCTCTTTGGTCTTTGCTGGCCTCGAAAGAGCTCAGACTGTTCAATCCCGTGACCACTGTAGAACTCGTGACAGCCAGCAATGTTGCGGCAATGTACAGCTGTTTCTCGGTCTGCGTCTTGGACAGCAGGAAGAATGCCACCGCGGCGGATACGACACCGAGCTGAACTACTCGCAGAGGATGCATGCGCCGAGTCACACCACCCTGCAGGAGAGAAGCCACCAGACCAATGTATCCTAGCATCTTGCCCGATTGCTTGCTGCCGTAGGAGAACAGATCGTAGGTCATGAAGGGCAGGGAGAACTCCATACCGGAGAAGAAGAGGATGAAGGTGAAGTGGGTCATGTTGAGGAGAATGTGGGAGTTCGTTCGCGTGTGGGTTTCGAGCGGGTTGTTATTCGATGTTGCCTTCTCCTTCTTCCTACGAGCGTCTTCTCCGGCAGACTGATGGGCGTGATGGGTTTCGGGGAGGGCGAAGTAGAGGTAGACGGTCTCGGTGACGATGAGGGCAAGCGACACGCCGGCGGCGGTGGCGAAGGGATTGGCGGCAACGGTGCTGATCGAGGAGAGCCACGCTCCCAGAGCTGGTCCGAAGGTGAAGGCAATGGAGAAGCACGCGCCCACCAGGGCCATGGTCTTACCACGGTCCTGGTCGGTAGAGATATCGGTGGCAATGGCCAGCGCGAGCTGCACATTGCCTTCACTCAACCCACCCACGATGCGACTGGCGAGGAAAGTGCGGAAGTCGGTGGCCGCGCACCACAAGGCCACGGAGGCGATGTTGCCGCACATGGAGCACAGCAAGGCGGTACGGCGGCCATAGCGATCGGAGAGGATGCCAATCACCGGCGACACAATGGCCTGGCAGAGGGAGAAGAGAGAGCCCAGAGCGCCGCCCAGCAGCACAATGTCGTAGCGGTCGTTGATGGGTTTGGCGAAGGAGTTCTTGTACGCGTTCAGCCCGTACAGCACCTTGGCCAGGAGCGTAGAGTCGGATTGCGTTTCGACATTGCGGTAGAACTCGAGCAGTTTGGGGAACAGCGGTAGGATGAAGGTGAAGGAGATCTGGACGCGTCAGTTAGTCTCGCCTATCTCTGCCATCTGATGCATCTGCCGACATGCAGCCTTACCAGGTCCAAGATCAACGAGATCACCAGCACGCGGAGCACCTTTTTGCGCTGCTGCGGCGTGAAGTCGCCCATGTTTGCTATATTCCAATGGGCAAGAGCAAAATACAGCAGAAGATGTTCAAGGACGGTGTCAAGAGGACAGATTGCAGAATGGTGGCTTCATAGCAGATGGCAACATCCCTCGGCTGGTCATCAACAACTCCCGAACGCGTTTGGCCTGGCGCGCGCACGACAGAATCATCGGCGGCAGATCGACGTCTGTGGCTCGTGTCTCCCCGCTCTGTGGCGCTGTTAACCTTATTCCTGCAGCACGCTGGCCCCTCGTCCGATGACGGAAGGTACAGCCAGGGAAAATTGTGAGCATTGGAGAAACAGCAAGTGACGCCGAGAAAGTCCACCGCTTGGGAACGACACCATCACATACAAAACACATCGCCATCACGTCGACAACACCCACAATCGACACATCCGCAATCATGCCACAGTAAGTTGGCTCCTCACCCAGCGCCGGCGGTGAATGAACCACACTCCAAGGGCATTGCACTAGTCATATTCCCCTCAACATCGCCCCCAACTAACAACACATCCAGCAAAGTATTGCTCCTCGGAGCCGGCTTCGTTGTCCGCCCTACTCTCGTTGAGCTTGACAAGGCCGGCGTGCAGGTCACAGTCGCCTGCCGTACTCTGGACAGTGCAAAGAAGCTGGTCGCCGGCGACCTGAAGCACGCCAGTGCCATCTCTCTCGATGTCAACGACAGCAAGGCTCTGGAGGCTGAGATCGCCAAGAACGACTTGGTCATCTCGCTGATCCCATACACCTTCCACGCTCTCGTTATCAAGGCTGCCATCGCCGCCAAGAAGCATGTCGTTACCACTTCTTATGTCTCGCCAGCCATGCAGGAGCTCGACCAGCAGGCCAAGGATGCTGGCATCACTGTTTTCAACGAGATCGGTCTGGACCCAGGTATCGACCACTTGTACGCCGTCAAGACCATTGATGAGGTGCACAAGGCAGGTGGCAAGATCACTGGCTTCTGGTCCTACTGCGGTGGTCTCCCAGCACCGGAGAACTCCGACAACCCACTTGGTTACAAGTTCTCCTGGTCGCCACGTGGTGTGCTCCTCGCTGCCCGTAACACTGCCACCTTCTACCAAGACAACAAGAAGGCTGAGATTGAGGGCAAGGACCTGATGCGGTCTGCCAAGCCATACTTTATCTACCCAGGCTACGCTTTCGAGGCATACCCCAACCGTGATAGCACTCCTTACAGACAGCGCTACGACATTCCTGAGGCCGAGACCCTCATTCGCGGAACACTGCGATACCAGGTACGTTCGGCACATAGCAATTTACAGCTGTCAGGCTAACACATCTCAGGGCAACCCCTCTATCGTGCAAACCTTCCGCGATCTCGGCCTTCTCAGCGAGGAGCCGCAAGACTGCCTCAAGCAACCCATCGCCTGGAAGGAGGCATTTGCCAAGATCGTCGGCTCCTCCAGCCACGATGTCAAGGACCTCGAATGGGCTGTTTCCTCCAAGACTCAGTTCTCTTCCAACGAAGCCAAGGATCGCATCCTCGCCGGACTGCGCTGGTACGGCCTTTTCAGCGACGACAAGATCGAGCCACGTGGAACTCCTCTTGACGTTCTTTGCGCTACATTGGAGAAGAAGCAACAGTACGAGCAAGGCGAGCGTGATTTCGTCATGTTGCAGCACAAGTTTGAGATCACCTGGCAGGATGGCAGAAAAGAGATGAGGACTTCCACCTTGGCCGAGTACGGTGAGCCTGAGGGCAGTGGTGGCTACTCTGCCATGGCCAAGCTGGTTGGTGTTCCTTGCGCCGTCGCGGTGCTCTTGGTGTTGAATGGTAAGATTCAGCAGAAGGGTGTCCTTGCTCCTGTCACGCCGGAACTGGTCGAGCCAATTCGTGTCGAGCTGAAGGAGAAATATGGAATCGAGTTGAAGGAGAAGACTCTGGCTTAAGTGGTGAATTACCGTAAGCTGAGCAACGATGATTACGAATAGAACGACTTGTTGCTGCTACTACCATAGACCCGGTTGCCGTGGAACACATGACGCTGCAGGCTATGACAGGTGTAGAAGACTCTTGACGAAGCAATAGAATCATAGAACGCGAACGGAAAAGCTCTTGGTGTTTGCGACCTGCCAGATCAGCGGATGCAGGTTGACCGTGCCTTCCACTTCACTTCCTCTCCAACGACACGTCATTGGGCTGCACCTTCCGTCGTCTGTCTCGACCATAGCTGTCCCATCAGCAGCTTACATGTACCACTAACTTTCCTGTGCATCGCCGCCAGTAATCACCGCCGCACTCATTTGAGGTAACGGGACTCGGGTGAGGTACCTGCAGCGCCAGTCTGCCTTGAGACTTGCTAACTCTCTCAACAGGACAAGCGCGTCAACATGGCCCCCATCTCGGTGACCGCGCGGCCGAAGAACGAAGGCGCCGCCGTCACCGCAGCCACCTCGAAGAACCTGCCATATCTTGACCACCTCGCCGCAGAGCTACAAATCGAGATCGCGAAGAATCTTGACAAGGAGGATCTTCGCGCAATGCGCCGCGTCAGCCGCTCGCTGGCTGAGAATACCTTCGATGTCTTTGCGGAGAAGAACTTCACGAACCTCTCTTGCCGCTTCACGACGCGATCTCTGAAGATCACACGCGATATCAGCGCCACGCCTCAATTCGCTCGACGTGTGAAGAAGATGGAGGTCTGTGCTGGATATGGCTACAAGACGGAGCTTGAGAGGCTCGCGTTCGTTCCCGAATTTGTGTTTGAAGGCCGAGCCTCGCAGCTACATGAGCTTGAGGATGTGCGAACACAAAAGACGAATGATGCGCTACTCAAGGACATCTTCTCCAACTTCGCTAGATGTGGTACGGCGAAGTGTGTCAGACTGAGCGTAACTGAGGACGTCTTTCTTCCAGCCATGCATACTCTGGCAATCGCGGCGAACACGTCTGGTCATATCGTCGAAGAGCTGCACTGCTCAATCCGTAAGCTTCCAACACGCGCGTTGGAGGTTTCGGCTGAATATGACGTGAGATCTTGGGAGCACACGCTGGAGACAGCTTTCCCCGAGGTTGCTAAGCATTCCTGGAGCAACCTTCGCGCGATTCACTTCAAATATCCAAGGCCTGGAAACTTCATGCTGTACGTCAGATCTGCGCTGTGCAAGCTTATTCGCGCTGCTTGCAGCGTCCAGGAGCTTGCGTTTCAAGCGGCATTCGGACACTACTACTTCTGGGAGGGTGTCAGATACGCCTTGACTGAACGCCACAATTTAAAGGTGCTGAGAATTCTCGGCGACAAAGTGGAGGAACTCCATTTTATTGATCATCGAGAGCTGCGGGCGATACTTTCCCAGGTGAATCATTCTCTGGAGACACTGGTGCTTGAGGACATCATTGTCGCCAGTGACGCTGATGATTATTGGAAGGAGACGTTAGACTGGCTCTCGAATGCGCTCAGTCTAAGGTACCTTTCGTGTCAAAATTTGCGGAACACCAGCTCAGTTCTAGCTCCGTCATGGTTGCTCTTAGATGGCAAGGGTAATTCTCACTTCGAAGTGGAGGGATCCAAGGAGGAGGTCAAAGAAAAACTGTCTACACTCGTAGCAGAAGCGGGACGCTGTCAGGAGCTTGAGATCGATTGTGAGGCTTGAGGTCGGGCATGGAGCTTGAGTTCGCTTTCTCCGAACGATCAGATGAGGAAGAGAGCTTGTGAGGGAGCGGAGATGCGGCGTAGCCCCGTTTGAGCAAAATCGTCGCATCGGCATGGAATTCTGGGCAAATTCAAGCATAGAATCGGCTGCAAGCGTGAGTGAATGATGAATGGTACCAGCCCTCAGGGTTCTTGGAACAGCAATTTCCTCACCCTGCTGTGAACTTGGTGACTTTGTTCAGTGGGGGCAGCAATCAAGGAAGATGGCAGACTCTAGCAGTGCAAGCTCATCACCTTCGCACCACCAAGATATGCGTACATTCTCATGTGATGCAGGTAGAACGTTCCTCGCGCGTGTTGAACGGAGCATGGCACGATCGTGAGGTCGTGCGTCAAGGGAGGGTGCGCAGAAGGTGAGGCACATTTGTTGGAGAAAACCAGGAGTCTAGTCAATCATTGACGCGGAGTCATCTCCATCAGGTAAGCGCAGTCTGGAGCTTCGATGACGACCTTCCCAATGCTTTCTTCCTCACAACTGCACAGCTGGAGCACAGATGTTGATGAAAGATGTCGCTATGAAATACACGATAAGCACTTCTCGAAAGCAGTTCGAATGCCTGTGAAATGTCGGGCAAGCGGCTCATCGACGCCTCCAAACTTCTGTCCGCTGGCGGCTCAATAGCAAAGAATCACTTCCGGATACGAAAAGAGCAATATGACCTGTTCACTAAGACCTCGGGAGTGGCAAAGGCTGTGCAGAATCAGACAAGTCGCGTGACAGTCACCGTCGGTGCCGCGATAGAATTGGCAAAAAGATTCAACGACGATCGGCCAAGCTGGCAGAAACAGACAGAGGATGGCGTGGACTATGCTAAACAACAAGCTCAGGCGGTGAACACGGAGGCTGAGAACATTCGCAAGGATCTGAAGACCGCAGCGGTGAATGCTGGTTTGGAAGCACAGCCAGCTGAGGAGGGAAGAGCGCGGGATGATGGCACACTGGCTAGTCTGCGAAAACGTGAACAGCAGCGGCAGGCTGAGGCACAAATACCAGCGCAGGCAGCAGAGACACAACCTGGAGCGAAGTCTGAAGTTGGACAGGACACCTTCAATGAGAGATCTGAATCTGTCACTCCTGAGCTATCCTCTCTCCCTCGAACGAAGCTACCACGGCACGCGGAGGAGGTTCCGGAATCGAGTCAGGGACTTCAGCAAAAAGAGATCAACTCAGAGGTGTACCCATCACCAGCTCAATCGAAAGATGCAGAGTCAGAGTCACTGCCGGAAGGCATTGACCAGGTCTTCCACAGCCCGCGGATAGGAAAAATGCTGGGTGCCTCTGGAGGTGCTGGCACGAACCCATATGCGAAGAGGCAGAAGCTACCTCCGAAGCCTTTACCAGAGATGATCGAGGCTGCAAGGCGGCGAGACGAGGAAAAGAAGGCAAAGGAGCAGCAAAGCGTCGAGACCGCGCAGGATACGTCACGACTCGCTGAAGATGTCCAGCCGCAGCCAGTCAGTCAGAACGTTACGCACGACCATGAGACGCAGCAGCTCGCCGCGGAGATAGCGAGTGCTGCGGATCCACAAGCTGCTGGTGCTCTAACAAACGAGGCAGACCAGCAACAGTCCAAAGCTTTCGAGATGCGCGAGTCCCGGGTGCCCGCAACGCGATTTGGACGTATTTGGCAGTACGGCGGCCTTGCCACAAGTATGGCATTTGGTGCAGTTGGCGAGAGCTTCAGCAGACTGGTTGGGGGCGGAAGCACGGGCAGTCTCATGTTGAGCGAAGGAAACATGAACCGACTGGTCGCGAAGCTCAGTCGAATGCGAGGTGCGGCTCTGAAACTAGGTCAGATGATGAGTTTTCAGGACAGCAAAATCTTGCCACCAACGATCAACGCGGTTTTGCAGCGAGTACAGGACAGTGCTGACTACATGCCCTCGTCACAACGAGACAAAGTTCTCAGCAGAAACTTGGGCTTTGACTGGAGAGAGAAATTTGCGAGCTTCGAAGAGAAACCATTCGCCGCTGCCTCGATTGGACAGGTGCACAAAGCGACACTAAAAACTGACAAAGGCGAGGTGAAAGTAGCGGTCAAGGTGCAGTATCCTGGTGTGCGAAACAGCATCGACTCTGATCTGAACAACCTCTCTTTGCTGTTGACTGCGTCCAAGCTGCTGCCGAAAGGACTCTTCCTGGATCGCACCATTGCAAATGCGCGGACGGAACTGGGCTGGGAATGCGACTACGAGAGGGAAGCCAATGCGTGTATCAAATTTCGAGAAGAGTTGCTTACAGATGAGTCGGACACGTTCACTGTGCCAAAGATCTACACAGAAGCTTCCGGAGTGGATGTGCTTACAGCTGAGTTCATGGGTGGCACTGGCGTGACAAAAGTGCCTAACCTGACGCAAGCAGAGCGAGACTGGATTGGCTCCAATATTCTGCGTTTATGCTTGCGCGAGCTTATGGAGTTCAAGTTCATGCAAACTGACCCTAACTGGACCAACTTCCTGTACAACCGATCGACAAAGAAGCTCGAGTTGCTAGACTTCGGTGCAAGTCGCGAATTCCCGGACAAGTTCGTCGTACCATACTGCGAACTGCTTATCGCAGCATCGAAGGGAGACCGTGAGGCATGCAAGGACTTGTCTATCGAGCTAGGCTATCTCACAGGCCATGAGAGTTCGGCCATGTTGAAAGCTCACGTCGATTCGATTCTGACTCTTGCAGAGCCTTTCGTGGCCGATGCACCAGAAGTTTACGACTTCAAAGGACAGACGGTTACAGACCGAGTACGACAAAACATCGGGCTCATGCTGAGAGAAAGGCTGGCGCCTCCGCCAGAAGAGACGTACAGTCTTCATCGCAAACTGAGTGGTGCGTTTCTACTATGTGCACGATTGGAGAGCAAAGTGCATGCAAGAGAAATGTTCGCTCAAGCTGCAAGAGTGTGGCGAGGTAAAGCCGAGAAGGTCAAAGTAACGTGAACAGTACGTACGTATAGACAAATGTAGAAATAGACTTGTACCGCATCTCGTGAAGTGCTGCGAAAGTATGTCGTTCTCCGGCAATGCACAACTTGTTTGATGAGTGATCAGGAAGAAGCCCGACCAGTCGGTTAAGAAGCTTACGCACGGGCCTCAAAGCCGGCCGAGGGTTGGCATATAATCGACCTCAGCTCTCGAATTCCACTTGTGAGCCATCGTTTAGACCCTGAGTCTCTGCAGCAATCTATCTCTAGTCAAGATCTGATCACAACGCATACCAAGATGGGCAAAGGTGGTAGGATCGATGTCTACCTGGACTGTAGTACGTCTCTCCTCGGTTCACAGCGCTGTAGCATGTCCAGGCGTCTCCCAGAGGTGCTTCGAATGAGCACCGCGAAATACCCAAAAACGAACAGAATTGCGCACAAAACTGACCATTCACAGATTCGCCATACTCATATTTCACGCACATGCACCTTCGTCGAATCCGACCCCAGTTAGCCAAGCACCACATCACAATCTCCATGCACCCCATTTTCCTTGGAGGAATCAACGTCGGATCGGGTAACAAACCGCCGTGGACACTGCCCGCCAAAGCCACCATGGGTACATTTGACGGAGCACGCGCAAAGCAATATTTCAAAGTCCCCGAACCAGACAAGTTTTCCGCGCCACCATTCTTCCCCATCATGAGTCTCTTGCCCATGCGAGCTTTACTCTTTGTCCGAGAAGAATTATTGGATGTGGAAGGTAATTTTGAAGATCGAGAGAAGTTTGAGGTGGCCTTTGGGGAGTTGTGGAATATGTTGTGGAGGGAACATGAGGATATTAGTAAACCTGAGGTTTTGGTGAAGTGTCTTGGGAGGCATTTGAAGAAAGAGGAAGCGGAGAGGGCTGTGAAGGCTGCGAAGGAGGAGAAGTGGAAGAAGATGTTGGTGGATGAGACGGGGAGGTTGGTGGAGAAGGGGGCTTATGGTGCGCCGTGGTTTATTGTTACGAATGCGAAGGGTGTGGAGGAGCCATTTTTTGGAAGTGATCGGTAAGTTCTTTGAAGTTCGAAGTTGGGGTTTGAGGTTTGGGTATCGGGACGCTGACTTTGGGCTCCTAGCTTCCATTATATTTATCAATTCTTGGGCGTACCGTTCAGAGATATTGAGATTTTGCCGCCGGGTGGCGAGAAAGAGGCGAAGCTGTAGACACAGGAAGACTCATATATGTACTCTATGATTGCTGATTGAAGTTTGATAGGCACGCAACAAGATAAGGCTTTGCAGACAAGGCGTCAAAACTAATTTATGAGAAAGTGTGCGCATCGCCTCCGTGTGCTTGCAACTCTCCTTTCCACGTCAGTAAGAGTCAACTGCGCGATAGTACGTCTTCTCGTTGCGATCGAATTCTACCGCTTCGCCATCGCTGGACAACTAACATCGTGGCTGCACGACATACTGCAGCACTGACTTGAAACCACTAGCCTCAGAACGGATGGTGAATGTCAGACCTGACGTAGAACAGGTGGGACAAATCTGGTGAAACACTGAGTGGTGAATAGCCTTTTTCATCAGATCAAGCTCGTCTCTTCGATAAAAGATCCCTTCTTTCCACTCGGACACATCGACAACAGACTTTCACCCAGCAATTTCATTTTCCCGAGCGAGCGAGCACTTGCAAGAATGTCGCAGCCCGATCAAGCATACGAATTCGGTGGCCCTATGTCGGAGGCCGAGCTTCAGTACGAGTGCGTCGGTTGCGGAGACACCATGCGCCCTCCAAGCGCAGCATCTATCCACGGACTCGAATTCTGTCAGCAATGCTTCAACGCCGGTATCCGTCCTCTCTTCGAACAATATCTTGCGAACGAACTTGCGCCCGTCGTTTGGCAGGGCCGAGCGATCAGTTTCAACGTTGTGCGACACCAATTCTCTGCAGAGTTCGTTTCGGCATTTAGAGAGCGCGTAAGGGAGTACGCTGTGCTGCCGAGAAATCGCATCTACTGCGCTGGGAAGATTCAAGGAATTCCTTGTGAGAAGTTTCTTGGAGATAAACGACGTTGGCGCAATGAGGCGTTCTGTCTTGAATGCAAGTCCGAGACTTGTACCTCTTGTGCTGCGATCATCGACCTTGGCGAACTTGAGCACAAATGCGCGATTCAGCTTGATCCGCTCGCTGATTTGGTTCGAGGCGCGGATTACCAGCTATGCCCGAAGTGCGGCCTCAAAGTCGAGTTGGCTGAAGCTTGCAATCACATGCAGTGCCAGTTGGCCGCGTGCGGCGGTACTTCATTCTGCTACACCTGCGGCGAAGAGGTAGTTGCACGCGATGGTCACTGGTCGGCTGGCCGTCTCTGCCCACGTTACAATTTACCGAATCCACTGAAGCCAATGACACGAGACCGCCTAGCAGAGGAAAGCTACATCCGGGAGCACGCGATGGTTCGCCCTGCGAGAGACGAACTACACCGCGTGCGGAAAAACTTGGTTCTCAGTCGCCAAGTTCTGTCTGAAGATCGCCTGGGGCTACTACATCATCCAGATGCTCAGGAAGCCCAGCGAGCACTGATTAAAGCTATGAGGCCTTTCCTAATGGCGTTCGATAGATTGGAAGGAAGAATACTTGAACACGGCCCAGTGGTGAAAAAGAGAGCTGCTCTTGCCCCAGCGATCAGGGAGGCGTATCTCAGTGGGATAGCGAAGGATGATCGTGCTTCGTTGCTGCAGTATCCCGCAATTGCCAGCGGATATGCCGATCTGGAGAGAACCATTGCCGCCGCGCCCAGGGACGAAATTTTTGCTGAACTCGTTCGTCAGCTACAGCAAGAGTAAGAGAGCTAGGATCAGCCTTTCGGTTGTGTCGGTGTGGAACGAGGAGGACGCAATATTGGAGAAAGAAGGGCACTTTGTTGGCAAAAATGTTTCTTGATGCGTGGCACTATCCACCGGAAAGGGGGCATCTTGTCGGGTGTTTCAATTGTGTGACCTGTATGGAATGCCGGGAGACATGTACGACAGGATGTAAATCAGAGACTGCAGCTCATGGTACTCGGTGAGAGAGGCCGCGGTATTCGTACGCATCCCTGATAGAAGTTCGCAATGAGAAGTTTAACTCGACACGAGGGGAACTCCTGCCATCGGATGGTGGTCAAGAGCAGTCGCCATCTTGTATAACCGTGGCTACCTCTAAATGCAACTACCTCTGAGTGCAACCGCAGGTCGCTCAGCCAATCACCAAAGCTTCTCATGAATCGAGAGCCAATCTAGTTAGACGCTTGCACTCAGAGGTCGTTTCATTTAGAGATGGTCACGGTTAGTAACAACAAGCCTCCGCTCCGCCTTCGGATGAGGGCGGCCTCGCGAACGTGAACGCCTCACCCGATCTCACATGTCTTGGCACCCACATAAGGACTGGTAGCTTCCAGATTGGGCTAAGTGAACACAACCGACATGCAGCCAAGCGCGTATAGCCTCATGCATCGCTGAAGCCCCGTCGGAACCTCGAGGGCAGTGTTCGAAGGATGAGAGGTGGTTCTTGACTTCAGCTGTTCATGCAGTCTGTAGACCTCTTCCTCTTCGCTTGCCACCGTCGGTCTTCTTGACAACCATGTTTGTTACACGACAGCTACGCATAGACGCCTTCCTCTTTCATTTACTTCTGTTCAATGTATACGCACTTGTTGAAGGCGGAGTCGCTCCTCACCGTTCACTGATCACGCCCACGCCGGCAGTCCGCGGGCAAGACGATGCTCACCAAGCCTTGCGTAGACAGCTCGCCACTACTTCTCTGGCGGATACGTGTGGATATGTGAATGCAGCAGTGTGTAAGTCTCATCTAACCTCAGTGCTCTTTTGGCAAGTCCTGATAAGTGCGCAGTGGAACCTCGGGGATGCGCGCAGGGCTACACCTGCTACGCTGAGAGCAGCCTTAGCGTTGCCGGTGGCTGCTGTCGCCTTGGTGATGCTGCGAATTGCCAACTCCCTACGGCTTGCGTCGCGCAGGCGGACAGATCAAGTTCCTGTGACAGCTCATGTAGTGCAGATGAGCGAACAACGAAGTGGTATGTGTTCTTTCTTCCGCTGTTTCAATTGTCGACGGCCTAGATGACTGCAACACGACTGACTTGTAATATTTCAGTGATTTGGCTTCCCCTTACTGCTACACAAACTACTGGCCTACACCAGGCCAGACGTTTTCGGAAGTCGGCTGTACTACAGCCCAAGGTCAATTCGCGTACGTGTATAGCACGTACACTGGATTCGGAGCCGAGATAGAAGATCTTACCACTGGGTCTCAAGCAACCAATCCTCCAATCTCAGCAACAAATACCAACGTCAACACTGGCGACTCTGAGCAGACTGGCAGTAGCTCCCCATCCGGCACCTCGGTCGCAGCTGGCAGTGATGACAACGGAGGCTCGAGTGGTTCCTCGACGAACACAGGCGCGATAGCGGGCGGTGTAGTAGGCGGTGTTGCGGTGCTTGGTCTGATCGCAGCACTGATCACCTGGATCGTGCTCCGCAACCGAAGAAAAGAGCGAGCAGCCATGGCGACAGCAGGCGGCTCTGGTGATGGCCAAGGGGAGTTTAATGGCAACAACGAGCTCAAGCCTCCACAGGAACATATCATTGCTGTATCGCCAAGTTCTTCGCACACACTTCCGCGGAGACCAGTGGGACAGGAGTTGCAGGCGGGAGTCGACAGACACGAAGTCGCTGGCTATGCGGAGGCGAGGGAGCTACAGAACCAACCTAGGAGGGTTCCAGAACTTCCATGAGAAATCGACGTGCGTAGCCAGCACAAACAATAGCTGAAAGACCACCATGCCTGTCAGCAAGCAAGAATTGAGTTTGTCGTACGTACGCCATTTGGTCTGTTTGCTTTGCGAATGGATATAACAGTGAGATTCTCATCTGTATTCCCTCAGTCCCTCAGCCGCTTCGCAGAATCATCCCAGTAGGTAAAAACAGTCATAGACTAAATCGGCCAGATTGTCGAGCAGATTTGCTGAACACGGGCACATCAGACCCGAGATTAGCTTCATCAGCATGTGCTCAGCAACACAATTGCAGTGCCGAATTTGCAACGGCAAACACGTCCGAATCATCCATTGCGGAAAGAACGGCAAGCACACAGCCATCATGCCCAAGCGTTGCCGTGAGAACCTCGAGATCCGGGCCGAACACAAGATCAAGGTTGAGAGATGGTGTCGATGCCCAGGCGGAAGGGAAAATTGAAAGACGGAGTCGCTCGGGTCAGGCGCAATGATGAAAGACGGCTCGGTCATCTGGACTTGCATGGTTGTTGAAGGCAAGCCAGACTTGGAATACGTCTTTGCATCCTCTCGTTTCCACCCTGTGGAGACTGCTGTCGAGGAGACGAGTAGAAATGGCATGAGTTGATGAGCCATTGTCATCCCATTAGCCAGGAGTTGACGCTTTGCAGAGTTGCCCGACTGGGACTCGCATCTGGAATAGAGATCACAATCCAGCTCAATCTTTGCTTAATCAAGTTCTTGTTCACTGAAATTTTGTCCGAACTTTGCTTGAAGAGCCCGCTGTCGTCGAAGCACTTGCACAGCAGTGCGAGAGCCACCCCCACAGAAAGATCCTTGCCGGTATGGCAAGTGACCAGTACTTTCGTGTTGCTGTCCAGTGTTGACAAGAGCATTTCCAGCTTGAGCAGCTCCGTACGAAGCATTCGGCTGCCATTCTTACCTTCTGGTAAGCTAAGGACAATGTATCGGTCTTTCATTGCCTTGACCAGGGATTCATCTGGCTTAGTCGTGCATGAGATCACGAAATCGAAGTCGCCCGGTCTTATTACTTCAGCAGCTGTATTCGTCCCGACGTAGAGGTTACAAGTTGGCCTGATGGGCCTAGGGGCTGCTCTGTCGATGTCCTTCCGAGCGTCGGCCACGATCTCGCCAATAAGCTGTGGCAACTCATCTTCCGAGGCTGCGATCAACTGTTCCCTACATCTCCAGAACATTGTAGCGTTCAGTCCCAAGGACCAACTTTCGGGATCATCTGCTGCGCCTTGGACGTAATCGGATGTCGCAGAGGTCTCGTTACTTGTTTGGTTTGACGCCGTGCAAAGTACGATCAAATTCGCTTCCCTTGCTCTGCTCAGATCTTCTTGATTGGGCATCTCGTCTCCAGGTCTTTGCCAGGAAAGTCTTATCGGTCTTCCGTTCAATTTGTTCCTCAGCCCTTCCAGATCGAGAGCCAAACGCTTGGCGTCTTCCACCCAGCCTTGCACACGGCTCTCAATCTGTGCATGCTCACTCTCGCTCACAACGTCACTCGGCGTGTGCAACTCCAGGTCTTCTCCATTTCTGTGGTCGGGGAACAGTATACGATTCCAGACACAAGCCCAGAGCGGCACAGTCTTACTCATGGCATCCGACATACTTTTGCCTCTTCGTGTGGAGTCAATTATGACCACACAACCTCCTCTCGCCTCGGTCGCCCCACTACTTCGATTGTCCTCAGCATTGTAGCCGTGAGCACGCTGGGCGTCATCTGCAGAACTTTGCAAATAATCAAACAGTGTGAAATTCAGTCTTCTCAGACTGAATGCCCACTGCCCAAAGTGCCCGTCTGTACTTTTGAAGTACACGCTCCCTCGTTTCCGGTCTGGCGGAATATACCAGCTCCCGCAGCGCTCGTTCGCTATGAGTGGGGCATCATTGTAAGCTTCGGATACGGAGACCACAAATTTGGAGTCTTGATAAATGGATTGTAGGCGATTGTGAATAGTAAGATTCGACCGCTTGAGGTCGGAGAGCGCTTGCTTGAGGACCTGGGAGGCAGGAGAGAAGATGATGTCTTGTTGTTGGAGGACTTGCGGCGGAGACATGGTTTGTAGAGGATAGCTATGGGAGCGGCAAGAGAGATTTGAGGAAGTCGCAAGTTGAGAAGTTTGAGTGCCTGAGGTTGACTTTCTCGCTAACAGTTCACACAACAACAAGAGGCTGAGGTGAGGCGTCGACACACATCGGACGAGAATTGGTGATTTTGCGATCTGTGGTCACAACGAGGGAGACAATTTCGCAGACACAGAGCGACGACTGAGAAGCGCTGTCATTGTCACTCATAACCCATACTGCTGACCATTCACCTCTGTGGAGGACAGGCGTCCGTGAGATATTACAATTATCATTCGCGCTCCGAGAGTACCGCATTCCACCTCGAATATTTCAACGCTGCAACCGAAGCTTGCCCGGCTACTTGGGTACGGACATGTGCCGATGCATGTTCCAAGTAGATGCACTCATCGTTCTGTTGTCAAATCGTGGTTTGCTTTGCAGCAGTCTGCGCAGCGACATGGCCGTAGACTGTCCATGCCCCGGATAAGGCACTGCCGCTCGCTGTACTCGTTTGAAGCAAATCCTCCCTATGCTGAACGCTGATCCTTTGAAAGCAGTCGTTGCACGTGGCGTGCGTGTCGCCTACTGAACGGCTAGCCCAGACCAGGTCCGCCTGGGTGCTGTATTGAACGTCTCGCACGCCAGACCGCAATTGTGTGTAGTGTTGTTGAGTCCGCATCAGCACTACTTCTTATTTGCTGCTGCCTCGACCTCCCGTAGCAATGCCTCCAGCTCGCCCAAGCTGGCTTTATCTGGCCCAGCTCTCTCGAACTCCAGACCCGTCTTCACCCACTCATACGCCTCACTCACGCGACCCATCTCCTTCAAGCACATGCCTCTCCTCCACCATGCCTTGACATTGCCTATCCGCTTCATCTCTACTGCAATCTCGGCATCGACAGCGGCCGCGGCCCAGTCTTGTTGCGCATACAGCGCTTGTGATCGATTGCCATATAATGTCGACAGCTCTTCTCTGACCAGGCCAGAGGCTTCCCAAGGCGGTCGCTCCGTAGCCATCTTGATAGCGAGGTCGTACATCTTTAGCGCGTCGCCATAGCTGCCCTTCTTGTAGGAGGCATTGCCCGAGTCCTTGAGCTTCGTGATTTGCACACTGCGCTTGGGGTTGACAGGCGCAGGCGGGGGTGTGACTTGGTTCGGGGTCTCGAGCTGGGTAAAGGCTTTGGCGAGGCGGTTCAGTTCGGCGATTTCGCCGGCAAGGCTTTGATCGGACGAGGAAATGGCCTTGGTCACCGGATCAATGGAGAGCGGGAGCAGTGTGAAGACCTCTTCCGCCATGGTTGCCGGTTGCTTTGGTGTCGCTTGGAAATGATTATTACAACAATGCGCGGGGAACAGGTGGCTAGAAGGAGAAAGAAGTGGAATGGAAGTCGACGTTGCAGTGGCAGCGCTCCCGCCTCGTGAGTGAACACATGGCATCGCATCCAGACCCTGCCAAGCGAGGTTCGTCAAAGCTTCATCAAATGTGGCCACCAACATTCATGAGCCCTAAAGCCCTGAGAGACATCACACATGGTGGCACGGTCAACAACTGCTCAGAGAATCCGCCATACTCCTGTCGCCCGGACTCCAGATGCAAACGCTTCATCCGTGCCTGCAACCCTCTTCCTACCCTCATCGGCCATGCATGCTCTGCTGCAACTGCCTCGGTAAGGCAAAGCAGCCGATTACACATCAACTCCAGACCTGCTGAGTCCAGGGCTCCTTGGTATCGACGAGGTTGGCGGCCGGGATCTCCGGTCCTTCGACAAATGATACTTGCGCTTTCCCGGGCACTATCTCTCCTCTTCGCCAGCTGACGCGCGCCTGATGTTCTGTCAGGAACGTCTAAGTTAGCCAGTTCTCGGGAGTCGGATCGCTGCCCCCTTCGCCAGGATCTCGAGGCGTGGCTTCACCACAGGGCGAACGCACAAAGAACCTTCGACGGCCTCAACGAGCGCCATGCACATTATGCTCCGCGTCCAGTCATCTTCTTCGATGTCATGATGACCGGAGCAGGTACCGAAGTGTACGGCAGGCACATCCTGGGTAACCACATGTGATTGTTCAAGGACGTACGGTACCGTAAAGGCATCCAAGTATTGCTGACGATGAGGATCAGAGGCTCACTTGGCGCTCACGAACCTGGCGGAACGAGACTTGATTTAGAACAACTGCAAGGCTGCTCGCACGCAGTATTCGTCACTTGTAGGCGGTGGCAACACGAGCACCGCGTCTGACTGTTCCTGGCTAGCCACGAGGAGCGCATGGGTCTTGAACTTCATCTTGATGCTGACATTGCGGGCCTAATCTTGAGAAGAGTTGGTTCTTCCGTGGCCTTGAGAGGACCCAGGATCGCACTTCTGCCTCCCTTCAATGCCATACCATCGCCCTCATCGGAAAGAGGTCAGTCACTATGGCGCGAGTTCTTGTAGCTGTAATTGCGCTTGCAAGTTTCTGTCACGCTGTCATCCGTGAAGAAGACTTCGCGGCGGAAGACATTATCGTCAGAGATATTGCGATTCTTGGAGCTGGTGCCTCGGGTACATACGCCGCCATACGATTGCGTGAAGATTACAACCTCAGCATCGCTGTCATCGAAAAGGACGATCACATAGGCGGTCACACCAACACTTACACCGATCCCGAAACGCAGAAGCCCGTAGACTATGGAGTATTGGCTTTTTGGGACTATGGGCCTGCGAAGAGCTACTTCGCGCGTCTGGACGTCGAAACGATGGCAGCCCCACCGGAAGGCGGCACAACAGTCTACGTGGACTCAGAAACGGCAAGGAACGTGACCGACTATCAAGTTCCTGCCTTTTCAGACGTCCTGAAATCCATCGCCATCTATGGAAATGAGTCTGGAAAGTACGACGACATTCTACTGCCTGGCTACTGGAACTTTCCTTCAGGAGACGACATCCCGGCAGACTTACTACTGTCCTACGGCGAGTTCTCTCAGAAGTACGGCATAGACAACTTCTATCCAATGCTGCAAATTATCGCTGGAGTCGGCGTTGGTGGAGTTCGTGATATTCCATTACTTTACGTTATGTATGTATGTCGAAATTGATCATTGAGGTGCTCAGTCACTGACCCGCGTGCAGGGGCTTTGGCCTAGACCATCCGGCAATACAGAGTCTGCTGCAAAACGGCCTTTTTGTGCCAAAGTCAGGCTCGAATGCCGAGATCTATCAGAAGGCGTACGCACGAATCAAGGACGATATCCTTCTAAGCAGTAGCGTCGTCTCCGCCGAACGCGACGAGCACGACGGAGTCCACCTCGTCGTACAAACCAGCGACAACTGCAAAAGGCTCATCAAGGCGAAACAGCTCCTCGTCACTCCTGCGCCTAGCATCCAGAACCTTGAGTCTCTGGATCTTGATGACCAAGAATCCGCCGTCTTCGTTTCCAGTACTCCACGACCAATCCACGTAGGCCTCGCAAAAACGTCTGCCATTCCGCGAAATTACTCAGTACAATATGTCTCCTCCAAGGTTGCACCGGATAACTACCTCGACATGTACCAGGACATTAAGCATGATCTCAAAATTCAGTCCACCGGTCCCGAAGAATTACAGCTTTTTCGTGTCCTATTGGAGACGACATCAGATCTTCCCCTCACGGAAGATGAAGCGAAAGCATATGTCACGTCTCAAGTGCAGAAACTTGCAGCCGCTGGGACACTGAACAGTGTAAAGCCACCAGATGCAGCGGCTGGCAGCGGCGACGCTCAAACTGCAAACGGGGGCGCAGTCACGGTCGAGTTCAAAGCCTTCAAATCCCATAGCAGTGTTATGTGGCGGCTTCCCGCAGACGAGATCAAAGCTGGCTTTATACAAAATCTCTATGCATTACAGGGACATCGTTCGACGTGGTATACGGGTAGCTTGTGGTGTACGGATTTTTCGAGCAATGTGTGGGCTTTTACGGATACGGTACTGGAGAGAATGGTGGGAGCGAGGAAGAAGGACGGATAATGCTGAGAGTTGAAACCAGAAAATGTGGAATGATGTTGCGTAAACTGTCATATCTATTTTGCGTTGAAAGGTGCCGATACCAGCGGCCGCGTCCTCTTTGATCACCTGCTCTGCCCCCGGGTTCCGCTGGTGAAGCATTTGGCTATGCAACTCAGGACGTAGGAGGTCTATCTATGTCGCTCTTTCCCAACCTTTGACTACATGTGCGATGTCCTCGATGAAATGTGCGATAGGTAAGCGCTGTGGCCTTCGAAGATCCCCCTCGTCTCGCCTTGAGGCAAAGCAGATGATGTGCTTCAAAGCGTATGCCAGATGGCGATTCTGTACTGTTCTGAGATCCTCAATTCGCCACTCTATTGCTGCGGGCACCCACTCTGAAGTGCAAGTCGTGTAGCGATATGTTCCAAAGAAGATGAGCTTTCTCATCTCTGTGGAAGATCGTAATGCCTCATGTTGGGTTAAGGCCTTCAACCCAAGAAGTCCCTGATGTACTGCATGAAACTCTTGGGTGTAGGCCGCTTCAGCTCGTCATCCTGGATGTTGTATTTCTGTTTGAGCTCACTGAGCCCGGCTTTCAAGAGATCATACTCCTCTTGCTTGTTGGCCAACGATGCTTTCAATTGCTTGTGGGCGTTCAGTTCGTGAGTGCCTCTGGCAGCAGTGGTGTTCACAAAGGCGCGTTGAAGGTCGTGCTTCAGGTGGGTTAAAGTCGTGTCTAGCTGATCACGAAGCTTGACACTCAGTTCGGTGACAGTCGTTGTCAGATCTTCATCAAGGCCAGTAAGCACCGCTTCGAAGGGGCATGGTAGACCGTTGCTGGCATCGGTTCTGTCGAGAGACTGGAACAGCCACTGCCTCATGCGCTCTGTGCTGCCAGAGCCACGCTCCATTTTGCAAGCATCGTATGTATGGCGCAGAGCAAGACCGAAGTACGATGTGTTTACATCTTTGGTCGCTTTCTCCATGATGATTTTGAGGCGCGTGTCGACGCCATCATTGCCAATGGTGAGCTGTGCGTAAGCCGCGCGAATGCGATTCATGTAGGAGTGCAACAAGCCTTCGAGCATCGTCACCAGCTTCTGGTCGGGAGCATCCTCTGCTCGATGGTCAGTTGTGCTTCACTCTGATACTGCTGCACGTCAAAATTGCTTACCTGTGAGTTTTTCAAACATGATTTGAAGGCATTTAATCATGTCATCGACATATGTTTGGAACAGCTTCTTGAGAGCCTCGGTCAGCGATGCCCAATGCTCGCAAATCACCTCACTCTGCGACCCTGCGAACAATTCGTTCCATACTGCACTCTCTTGCGCGGCAGTACGATGACTGCCATTGCGGAAGACGAATGCTCGGAAGGTGCTGGGGTGGTATCTCGAGATTTCACGCAATGCCTCCAAAGCCTTCTCGCGGAACATGGTACGACCTTCAGCAACGTGACACATCAGTTCGGTGTTGAGTGCGTTCCGCATATCGTCTGAAAGGCTGCAAGAAAGAGATTCTAAATGCTGCGTGGGGGCATTCAGGGTCTCTTCAAAGTGCTTTGGCCGCTTGGAGTTCGCGGCCGTCCAGAGCGCGAGACTCTCAAAGAGGCTGATCGTGTTGTTGATGCTGTCATAATAGCTGTTGAATTTCGCGTCTTCGGCCAGGCTCAAAGCATGTAGTCGCAGGGCGGGAATATTGGTGCTGTCCAGGCTCATGACAGTGTTGCCCATGTCAGACATCGGAGGTCGTGAAATGAAGTGAGTATTCGATATGCAGAAGACTGCGAGCTCCACCCCCGGCGGAAGATATTGTCGTGTGATTCCTCGCAATTTGGCAGCAATGTAGCTGTTTCGTCCCTTCACGAAGGCATCAAGCTGGGCTGTCTTGCTCTGGGGAAGAACTTCCGATTGGAACCGAACCAGAGTCATCGCGAGTCCATTTCGACCTTCAATATGGTGTGTATGGCCCAACTGCGCTTTCATGTTCGCGATGTCTTCAATGACGGTTCGAACCCGCGCGGTCTGAATCCAATACTCTTTCATGTCTGCTCCTTGCTTTTCCAGTTCTTTAGCAGTGTTCGCATCGGCATTTGCATCGGAAAATGTCAAGAGCGCTGCGATGTTCTTTCCGAAGCGCGGCCCATATCTTGCCAGAATGTCGTGGAGCCTTTTGTCTGAAGTGGCGCGACTGATATTGCCTACGACCCATAAGGCCTGACAACGGAGGAAGTGATGGTGAGCGATGTTGCCGCGATTCTCGTCTGTATCTGACATGCCTGGAAGATCGAGTATATGGATGTAGCGAAGATGCGGCGAGTCCGGACATGCCTTCTCCACCAGTTCGACTAGTGGCCATAGCAAGGGAGTGGCAAATCCGTCCTGATCATAGATATATCGCTCGAGCACCTCGTTCAGACGTGATGACTCGTCCTCTTCGAATCTACGCATCCGATGGCCGTCTTCCATATCAAACCCGGTGAGCAGTTCATCACACCAAGCCAATAGCTGCGCGACGATGGCTGCGTCGTTATGCCTGCGGTTCTTGAAGAATTCGAAGAGCTCAGCGTCTGTCGCGAAACCAGATTTGTTGTTGAACAGCGTCCGGAATCTGGTTTTGGCAACGTCCGCAAGCTTTTGCCTCTCGGCTAACTCTTCATCCGACAGTACAGGGTCGATGTCGAAGTGAAACCGTACATAGTCGCGAACCCATTGGGCTACCATCGCTTGAAGGCGATCTTGCTTCACAACGTGAACGATGGCGCCGTGTTTCTTCTGCTGACCATGTAGATGAGAAACGAAGAGCATCGCAACAGACGTCAGAGCATTTCCCGAGCCGGCCGATTTGGATGCGTCGGACTGTCCAGAGAATGCATTGAGGAGCTCACTCTTTCCCTGTCCAGTGGGACCATAGAGTCCAATTACCGGCTTGACGAATTGAGGCTGTTTTGCAGCTTCGATCCAGGCCTGGTAAGCGTTCTCGAACTCTTTGCTGACACCACGATGCTGAGCAAGATCCTGCGCGAATGCAGAAGCAAGTGTTTGGGCGGCTTGCTTCTGCTTGCGCGTCATCGAACAAGTAGGTAGAGGGTCGGTCTCATCATGTTTCGCTGTTTTGCGCCTCTTGGTTGGCGGTGGGGCTGAGTTGGTGCCGGCAGGCGATCGCGAGCGGCGCATCTTGCTGACTTCTAAGTGTTGTTACCGGCGCTGTATTGCAACTGATCGGAAGTCAGGTGGGTAAGGAAATGGGGCAAGGGCCAAGAAATGAAGGTTGATGTTGAGGGCCAAAAGATAGTGGCCGGAGTGGTGAAGGTTGTCTATTTGAAGACGCACCCGGCATGTTGCAAGTGAAGCATGATGAGAAACATGTGAGACCTGTTCACATGCAAGTGGCGCAAGATGAAATAGGCAACAGGCAGCAATGTGCATGTGAGGTGCTTCAAACGTCAGCAGCCCCCCTGGGTCCCATACTTCACTCCGCTTTCACGTGCGCACAATCGAATGGCGTTTTCCACCTGCCTTGCAATTTGTGTCAGTGTTGCGGATGGAGAACGCGTAAGTGGAAGTCGTTTCCCAATAGAAGCTGTATGCAAGATGAGCTGTTCTAATCTGAGAGCGTCTTGTGTTTGTGGCGAGGCCTCATGATCTCGTTTCCGGCGTCGGAAGGCGCACCCCGACCCTTTGATATCGAGCCCGCCATCAATGCGTGCGCTACGCTGTCTGGTAGACTGCTGCAAGTGAAGCAAGCGCGAGCTCATTGCGCCAGCCATGACGCCATGTTTCGGAGAGGCAGCAAACAACGCTGAACCCATGCGATTCGTCCCAGGGAATTATCGGGATCCCGTTTCAGCAAGCCATGCTCGTTGCGCTGGCAAGAAAAGTGTGCCGGCCATTTGTAAGCCATCTGCAGGCCTTGCGCAAATGCGACTGCTCAGGTTCCAGAGCGTGCTCCTCATCTCCATCGCAGCTGGGCACTTCTGAACAGCGCGTCATATAGTAGTTGAACATCGTATCCACTACCGCTTCTTCTTCTGGCCCTTCTTTGCTTCTGCTATCATGTCAGCGCCCATCCGATTCATGCACCACAGCTATCACTCACCTGTCTTCGCCTTCTTCTTCTTTGGCGCGCCCTTTCCTCTTGACTTCGCGATCTGTAGATGCTCTAACCGATCCTCTTCAAAGTCATCGTATAGTTCATATCCTGGGTACAGCCGCTTCAGGTCCACAAACGTCGCCACTCGTCGGGGGTAATATGCTGCCAGCGAAGGGCCCTTTAATCGTTGGCGGAGGATTTTATTGCCGAGTCGTTGTGCGGTGGGATTGAAGGTGGTGTTGAAGATGCGGCATTGCGCCTTCATCAAGTCGAGAAGACGTGAGCGAGGGACCGACATGGCGGCTGCGTGCGCGATCGATGGCCTGCAATGGCAAGAGTAGGAGTAGGAGTGATGAAGTCGTCGGGAGTCCGGTGCCAAGCCCGCTCCAAGCTCTCTGAGAAGAAAGTCGCGAACTGCAGGCCTTCCTTTCTGCAATACCGCCATCACCACCGCTCATCTCCTCGTTGTCGTTGGCACAGCGCAGAGGAGGGCGTGGAGGCACCATGAACCACAAGCGGTCACACTACGGTGACGGCGGCGGCTCGCCAAAGCGACATAAGTCCGGTTCTGGCCACCACCGCAACCACGACCGACACGACCGACACAACCGCCCACGAGAGGCACGATCGCACCAGAGCGGCAGAACTGAGAAAGCGCAGCACCACGATTTCCTGCCCAATGCCTCGATATCCCACGCCAAAGCAGTGCAGAAGCTGCCTCCGTCTTCCTCGTCTCCACACTATATGCGCGCTCCCGCCGAAGTGAGCTTGAGTGTAGGGACGGACCTGCCGCAGCTGCCTCCCGTCAAGGACGAGTACCGTCAAGCATCCTTCCGCCACAAGTCGCACTACAACGTAAGCCGCGAAGTGGCCGCTGGGGACGTCACCTACGAGCGCCTCGAATTCCTGGGAGACGCCTACCTTGAGCTCTTCGCCTCACGACTCATTTACGGCCGCTATCCACAACTTCCCGCCGGGCGTATGTCGCAGCTTCGCGAGTTGCTGGTCAAGAATGAGACGCTCGCCGAGTACTCGCGAGCCTACCGCTTTCATGAGCTGGTCGAAGTCGGTGGAGAGGTCGAGAACATGATGCGCGATAGCCAGGGACGCGGTAACAAGGGATTCAACAAGATCTTGGGAGATGTCTTCGAAGCCTACGTGGCTGCTATTGTGCTGAGCGATTTCAACGCCAGAGGCTACGATACTGCGGAACAATGGTGTGTGACACTGTGGGCGCCAAGGTTACTCAAGGCGATCGAGCAGGACCCGTTGGCTCACCACAGAGAGTCGCAAGGCGCGGCGGATCTCACCTCTACGTATGATGTGAATGCGAAGGCCACGCTCCAGAAACGTCTTTGCGGCGCCAACCTCGTCCGTCTTCACTATGACACTGACAAACCAACCGTGGAGCTCAAGGGTGACAAGCTTGGGCAAAATGTTCACTTCATCGCGCTGTATGTGGAGTCAGCGTTCTTCGCAATTGAGAAAAGATTACTCGCCAAAGCTGAGGGCAAGAACAAGGTTGAGGCAGGCAATTGGGCCGCTGTCAAAGCCATGTACGATCCGACCACGATGCAGTTTGTCAAAGAGCTGGAGCAAAAGGTACTCGCAGAGCGGGAGCGTCGAAATGAAGCCAAGAAAAAGGCTACTTCCGACGTGAAAGCCGATGGAGAATAAGGAGGAGAGATGGTGCTGAGATGAGCGCATTGGTATTGCTGCGACGGCTCCGGAGGGGACGGATGTCGGAAGACAGAGTCTAATGATGTCGACCTCAGTGAGATGGGCAGCTCAGAAGGCAGCAGTCAGTAGCTGGTCCGACTTGATCTTCAGTCGGCAGCTTGCGTGTCCAGCGAGGACTGACAGTGCTACAGCTGACCGTCGGATGACTCTGGCCTCTTCTCAAGTACGAATGGACAGATAAGTGTCGCTATCGCCAACGAGCTCGAAATGTCCGCTGTCTATTCACGAAGAGAGAGCGTTCCAGCGCTGAGCTTGGCAATGCCCCGATATGGAGGCATGTGACAGAGACATCCCCAGTTTCGTCAACCAGTCTTCATTGCTGAGACTGCTCTTCGTGGTCCCCCAGGCCAGAGTGCAATCGACACGACGAAGTCAAATCAAGTTCCGGGAGCCCTTCCCCGCCAATGTTCACGAGCAAGCGATCAGGAGTAACTAGTCCACATCCCTGGTGGTGGCTTCCACTATCGAGAGGCGACGATAGCCACAGATTCTAGATCTCCTGCTATCGGTGCGCGTGGTCGTATTGAGACAATGGATGCAGCTTCATGGGCACGTGCAATGGTCTCGGCCAGAGCAGATACAGTCTAACTGCATTTGCATATTGGACAGCCCGAACTTTCAAATCACGTGCACTTCCAAGTGAGCCATATCGAGTTAGACGATCAGCCACCGGCTTGCAGCTTCATCCATAAACAGGTAGCACGCGATGTAGCTGCATATCCACGTGGCTGCACGAGGGTAGCATGCAAGCCATCGCTTACACCGAGAGCCATGGCTGAGCTGAGCGCTTCTAGATGTTCTCGGAGGACGCGAGTTCAGAGCACCGTATAGGTTTGGGATCATATAAAACCAAGTCCCTTGGACGAGCGCAGTGTCCAATTTGGATACAACTTCTCCAACCTTCTGGTTCGCTGCGTTGTTCAACCAGCTACATTTGTATTCTTTACACATTGCCTAACACTTAGCACTGCCGAAATGGCCACCCATCATTTCTCACAGCCTACCAGTCTTGGCGAGAAGCTCGACGACGTACAGATCGATGTCGCCGAGATTCAGGCGGACTTGCCAACGCCGGACACTGAGCAGCTTACCATGCTGAACCGTGGTTCCCTCGAATCGCCCTTCGCAGTCGTGGAGAAGCCACAGATAAGCAGATGTCCCCCAGATGTATCCATCGATCGTCCTAGAGATGCGAGCCCAGCGTGCTCTGTGCGAAGCTCTTACAGCAGCACTCGAGTGTCTCGTCGTCGAACAAGCCACCGTCACGGACATCACCGTTCTGAGGTATCCAAGGAGCTCAACTTTCAAGCTGAAACCGAATTCTCCGCCTTGATGGAACTCATGACTGGCATTTCCAGGCGCAGTATATCTCTACGGGAGGTCTGGACCAAAATCATTTCGGAGCGTGACTCCTGCTATTTGGAGATGGATCGCATGTGCGAGCGCATCGACGAGTACACGGAGATCATTGAGCGCAAGGAGCGCGAATGGCACAATCACAACCATGAGCACGAGCAGAGCAAGACTGAGATTGCGAAGCTCAAGATAGAAATCACTGCCGCTCTTGCTAGTGTTTCAGAGTTCAAACAAAAGCTGTCTGATCGGGATTGCGAGTTGGGCGAAGCGCGTCGCGAGATCGCCGAGCAAAAGGATGTGTTCAAATACCTCAAGGAGGAGAAGGAGAAGACAGAGACAACCCTACAGGAGACTTCTGCGCTTCTGATGCTGACCGAGGAGCGGTGCAAGCACGCTGAGGTTGATGCAAAGAGACATGAGTGCGAGCTACGTGATCTCAAGGAGACATATCATGAGCTCGAGGCAAAGAGCACCGAAACGAGCACCAAGTATGAGTCGATGAAGACGGACTTCACTAGTGTCAAACAGAGCTATGCCATTCTCAAGAAGGAGAAGCATGAGTGGTTGCATGAAAAGGGAGAGCTCGAGGAACAACTTCGCAAGTGCCACCACAAGCATGACGAATCCAAGCGTAAGCTCAAGGAGACGATTGAGTACTATGAGAAGAAGGAAAAGGAGGACAAGGAGACTATTGAGAGGACAGAGCGAGAAGTGCGCGAATCCAGGGAGAAGGTCATCAAGCTGAAGAGTGAGAAGAAGGAGCTTGAAGAGAGATGCAAGGTCTTGGTGTGCAACTATGACGAGGAGCACTGCCGCTGGGAAGATGCCGAAGAACGCTGTGGAAAGTGGAAGCTCAAGTGGGAGCACGCTGAACGCGAGATCACTTCTATTCGGGAAGAGCTTCGCGTCATTGAGTCCAAGCAGAGCGAACTCAAGGAAACGATCACCAAGAAGACTGAAGAGCTCAAACGCATCACCAAGATTAAGGAGCATCTCGAGCGCGACTACCACGGCAAGTGCAAGGAGGCGGAGAACAGCCACCGCGAGATTCTTGTGCTCAAGGAATCGATTCGCCGCCACGAGACGACGATCAAGGAGAAGAGTGAAGAGATTCACACTCTCAGTGAACGCATTGAGCGCCTGCAGTCGGAATGCGAAAGTCATCAAGGTAAATGCACCAATCTGGGAGCAGAGATCACCTCCCTGCAAGCTGTTATGATCTCGCTCAAGGCGGAACTCAGCCTCGCACATGAGGACCACGACTGCACGAAGAAGAAGCTGCACGAGTGCGAGACAAGATATGAGTCAATCTGCGAGACCTACGAGGAAAGCCAAGGCGGTCATTCTGATTACGAGTACCAGCTTACACAGCTGCGTACTATGCTCCGGGAGGCGCGCAGTGAGAAGGAACGCGCGATCAAGGCTCGCACCGAGGCAGACCATGAGCGCGACGAGGCCGTGACAAGGTATGAGGCCAAGTGCAGGGATTTGGAGGAATTAGAGGAGTTCTATGCAAGCAGGCAGCATGAGCATCACCATAAAGAGGGCAGGCGAACGATCAGGGCGAGCTACGGATTCAGGAGTGTGAACAGCATGGGCAGTGTGGTGAAGAGTGAGGACATGTAGAGTATGCAGTGGCGAAGCGGACGAATTCATTTGTTACTAGCATGGACAATGGAGCAAATGTGCTTGTACTTTAGATTGCACCTGCGATCACAACCATCAGTATTCTCAGGTTCGAAGCGATTGTATATGACTAAAGGCTATACAGCTTGAAACTAGAAAGAACTTTTGCACAGGTCGAGCTCAATTCATGGGCCATATCTCGATCTCAGTGGATTAGGCTTCACATGGGGCAGGCCGTCCATATCATTCCGACCGTAGTCCCCCCCATCAACGAATGAGAAATCCTTGGAGCGATCCATCTCCTTCCATCGCCCAATCGATTCAAGCAGCTTAATAGCATGCGCGGGAATCTTGATTTCGTTCGAGTGTGCAGGTCTCGAGTGGTTCAACATCATGTCGAGCTGCTCCTTACTCATCTGCCGCTCGTTTCTGTAGCGAAGGATGTCATCCCATCGACGACACTGTCTGTCGATGGTGAAGTATGGGAACGGTAGTCTTTGATGCTCGGACCATACCAACGGCGAGAGATCGAGAGATGCAGTGCACATGAGCTCTTGACGAAGCATGTCAAGACAATGGTAGAAATGTGACCAGTCTGAGAAAAGATGTGTCAGCGGATACGCTACTCAGGGTACGGCAGTGGCCTAATTCCACTAATCATCTGCAGGCCGGGAGAAAGTCTTACTCACATAAGGGGTTGATGGGTCTTGCGAATCTAGATTATCGGTCAGCAACTATATGTTCGCCTCGGAATGCCTTTTTAGGCGTCTTACTCATAGTAGTCCATGAAGGCGCCTCTACGGATCATGTCGAGGCAGTGTATCAAATGGAAGACGTTTATTTCCGCCATGTACGTCTGACCAGTTGGATCGCCTACCCATTGAGCACCCACTTGGGGGTCTAAGCCCGTCTTGACCCAGTCCTCTTTGGAGACGAGGATCCGGTTTGCTTCACCCCCGATCAGATCTTCCCAGGCTTGGTCTGTCTCTGGCGATGGATCTTGGCGGAAGATATTGTTCTCGTCCCACCAGAGCTCGCCGTCAACTCGGACGTGTTCAATGCCAAGCTCGATATCGTTGTATACGGGGGCTGAGATGTTGCAAAATGCAGTCAGATGCTCGTTCTTTGTCAATACGCCTTCGTTCGTCACCATTGAACTCACAATACCAGCTGGTTGAGGCAATCCGGTCTTTAGCTGGGAAGCTCTCCAAGGAGACACTGTATCTCCCAACAATGAAGAAGAACGACGATGCGACGACTAAGCTTAATGTCCATACCAGGCTATAACGCAACCAGGAAATCGTTCCCCTTCTTGAAATAGTGAGGAGGGGAGGTGTGGCTTGTAGAAGACGCTCAGATTCCAACACATAGTGTTTCAACAGAGATGAAGAGCAGGAATTCTCTTTTTCGGGGTCGCGATAATTTTCCGTCTTTTGTCGTTCCATCTGGAAAAGAGGATAAGATGGACCGGCAGTGTGAACTTCTCGGTCAGGAATGAGATCAGTCGACCTTTCCGACTTCTACTGTAGAAGTTGCAAGAGCTCAACGGGACATACCAACACATTGTGCCTGCTAAGCCCCATGCCAATCAGAAGTAGCCCATGCATATCCTTGGACTGGTAGTGCAACAACAAGCTTAGGAGCTGTGCTCCAATTGCATGCGAAGTTCAATCCAAGTGTCTAGGTTGGCCTCTTTTAGTGGTCATTCTCGGCCACGGTCTCGCGATGTTCGAACTCAGTTCGCGCTAATGAGTTTGGCCCTGGAAAAGTCTGTCCTCTTTGACCTTGGCTGGGACAAGGATACTCAATACCCTCTCACATCGACGTGAGTACGAACGTTGATGAGGGATTTACCTACCTGGTAAGCTGACCAGGCAGATTTCACCACAAGTCGTGAGCGCACAGCTGCATGCGACTTGTAACAGCTTCACGAACGTGCACTCCCGCAGCAAAGATTGAGCGTCCATCTACTTGATGCATGGGGTATGCCTCAGGCAGTCGTCCGTTCACTCTTGGCATTCACTCGAGCGAGTACTTCCATGTAGTTTCTAGCACCTCCGTAGTTCGTTCCTTAATCAATATTGCAGTCACTATCTCTCGTGTAGTTATAAGCCGTCGCGCTATATAGCGCGTTAACCTGACTTAGTAGTTTACTACTATACTAATTTATAGTATCTACGATAGTATTACTTAAATCCGCGATAGTATCGCTACTACTATAGAGGTAGGTATCGCTATAGAGGTAACTAACTAATAATAGCGAGCCGTAGAGGCCGACTCGAGTTATCGTTTAATATAATAGCTATCTACTAAACTACTATCGCTACCTCTAATCTCTTAAAGAAGTTAAAGAGTAAAGCTAACTAGCTAATATAGTTAACTCTTATTAGAACTAGCTTTAGAGGTTAGGAGCTTCTATTATATATTACTAATAGCGCTAAAATGCCTCTAAAGGCCGAGCCTATTAAGCTAGCTAGCAAAGATTAAGACGACTTTAAAGTATATTAAATCGATTACGATAGCGCCTATACTAGAGCTTAATCGTTTATTATTAATAACCTCTACGAGTCGGTATAGTAAAACGTACTAGAATACGACTCTACTATCGAACTCTAGATATACTTCGAAGCTACGTATAGCTCGAGTACTATTAGCGAAGAATATACTATCTTTCTAAAGTTTTACTATCTATCTTACCTCTCTAGCTCTAATATTCTAAAGTTTATAGAGGAATTTAAAGCTAAGTTTTATATACTTAATAAGACTAAGCTAAAGTTATTAGACGTAGTCGCTACGTTTATCTTTATTACCTAGATAGAACTAGAGTTTCTATAATAGGTTAATAATAAGCGAGAATAGTTTAGAAATATTACTAATAATAAGCGTAATACTCTAATACTCGACGCGTTAATAGTAGAAGTTCTAGATAAAGACTTTATATACTATAATTAAGACGAGTATTAGTATACTTTAGTATATAGAACTAACTCTAACTCTAACTCTAATACTAGTAACTCTAGCTCGAACGCTAATCGAGAGAGTAGAGGTCGTAGTCGTAGTAATAATAGCTATAGTAACTATAGAAATAGATAAAGCTATAGTAGTAGTAGTAGTAATTAGTAATAACTATAACAACTTTATCTAAAGTATTAATATTATAGTAGAACCTCTTATAAGGAAGCTAAATACTAGGATAAGCCTAGTAATAAGTATAACTACCTAAGTTACCTAAGGAAGCCTAAT